TAAAATCCATTTCAAATCCTAAAAAGATTGCAAATGAAAAAATGTTGCAGAAACGAATAAATTACTATCATTTCACTTTTCTCATAGAAATCTTAATTAATATAGTCTCAATGTTAAGTAAATTTTTGCTTTAATAATGCTTCTCGGTAGAGAAGTTATGTGAATTACTTTGAGCTTTTTAGCTCTTTTTTGGCCTAATTCTAGTCATTATTGAATTTTGGCCTAATTCTAGTTATTATTGAATTATCCAACAATCTGAAATATTTTTGATGAAAGGTTTTGAAAAAAAGAAGCTACGAAGTCGTTATAATTAAAAATTATAACTTTTTATCAAATATTCAATTTTTCCATTCAAGAAAAGATTTCAAATTTCAACCTCTCTCTCTCTCTCTCTCTCTGTCCTCTGATTCAAGCAGTTTTTTGTTTCAGGTCAAAATTTGGTTCCAGAATCGTCGTATGAAGCATAAAAAGGAAAACAAGGATAAACCAACGCCAGCAGTACCATTTCCAGCTGGTGCACTTTCCTTCCATCATTTGGCCAGTTTCAATCCGCGTAATTTCCTTCTCACTAATAATTACACATGAATGTATCATCATAAATATAACATCATTAAGCTCAAAGTCATAAATTACTAATTATCAATTAAGCTCAATGCCATATCATATTTGAACATAGGTGGCTTGCATATGGCATTTAAAAGTTTTAAAATTTGAGAAATTTTGAATTCAAAAAAATTTTCATTAAAAAATTGATGATTGTAAAAGCTTATATTGCAATGGTATCACTAAGCTGTGATAGCGTAAGTTTGTATCATATGATTATTATTATTATTATTATTATTATTATTAACGAAAAAAAAAAACACCGATCGTATCGATCGATCAATTTCTCAATTCACCAATAAATTTTGAATTTGAAAATTTTTATCGAAATTAATTATTTTTTGACAACCGTGATAATCACATATAATAATAAATCAAGCATTGTTGAATACTTCGAGAAATATATTGCAATTAATTATAAAATTTTTGAAATGAAAAATTTCGTAAGATTTGAATTTGTTTTGAAAGAATTTACCATAATTCATTATTTGAAATTTTCATAATAACATATTTTAATGGAATTAATTGAAAATTTATTTCTAATGAAAAAAAAACAAAGCTGCAAATAATTATTTTAATTATTAAATGATAAATTAAATTTTGTGAAAATTTTATTTTCTATATTAATCGAATAATGGAATGAATATAATTATAAAAATTACATAATATTATTATTATTTGTAAATTTTAAATTTTAATCAGGAAAATTTTACGAATTTTTTTATGATGTAATTTTAATCGTATGTTTCTTTTTTGAAAAGTGAAGAATGAAAGAAGATTAGGAGGGTTACACTTTGTGCTGTATTAATTTGTGCCGAAGTTACGATCATTTTCATTAATACCGGTTTTCCTATTGAAATTCTGTTTCAAAAATTGCATCAATTTTTACTAAATAGCAAGAAATACATTAGCAGTGAAAAGTGCAGAAAATTTATTTCTAAGTTCGATCGCTACATTTTTCCCTCTTCCTTCTTTTTTCCGTGTCGTATGCGTATGTGTGTGTGTGTGTGTGTGTGTATGTGTGTGTATGTGTGTGTATGTGTGTATTTTGCAATTAGTAAATTTACGCTTTTTAAGTAAAGAAAGTATGTCTGATGCGTCTGATGTGATTGTTGACAGGTTGATTTTTTCGGGTTTTGTATAAAAATGAAATATTTGAAATATGCAGTTTAAGTACGTACGTATGATAGGACGCAAATCTTAGCTTCGCTTCTTAGTTCAGTTGTTTCGTGAAAATAAAAATTGAAAAACATACGTATTAAATCATCCATCATTAAGTGCTATTAATTCACTTTTTGTAACTTGTAAATTAATGAATGAATGAATGGATGAATGAATTTAATTAATTAATTAGTCAAATGTTTGTTAGAAGAATTGGAATGTAAACAGGGTCATTTTGCTGCACTCTTTCGTTTTTATACAAGGTATGAATTGCATTTCACGAATCCCGCTCTCTTATTGTATCGGCTATTGTTTTTTTGTCATGTCTCTTTGTCATTTTGTACAAGGTATATATATATATAAAACAAGGTGTTCTAATCTGCTTTTTTTTTGTCTCTTCCTTTTGTTTTAATTTAGACAAGGTAAAATTGTAATTGTTATTTTTTGTGTATTTTCTTTTGTAATCGCTGTTCAATAATCCAACAGGGTTTATTTGAAGGGTTCCTTAAATCGTTCATCTCCCTTATTGTTGTCTCATTATTTCTTCATCACTATTATTTATACATTTTCAACTTATCATCATATATAGTAAATTCGATTTTGAATGTCTTTCAAATAACCAACCACCCAGTGTTGTTTATAAGTTAAAATTTGGCAGTCAAATTTAAGCAATCAAATTTCCACTTCATATTAATCTTTCTTTTCCCGTATATAAATCGGATAAGAGAATGAAACTTCAGGTCAAAGGATCATTTTCGAATACTTTTTTTTCAATCCTTCTATGCTGCGATGAACTATCAAGGTTTCAAATTTAATGAGAAATAAATAAATGTATGTAAATTTAATGCTGAAATTACTTTGCTATAAAAATTCAAATTGATACAATTTCAAAGGTCATCATCATCATCATCTATTGGTTAACTAACATTGAAAGAACGTAAATAAGGCATTATCACTAATTCTTGCCGGCCTTTTTCAGGTTCATTGTTAACTAACCATTGTCCATATAATTTATTATTCAAAACATTTCTTTTTATATTTTAAGAAATAATTTTTGCTTTCAAAAAAAGCAGAAAATATTTTCGTTGAAATATTGATGAAATTTTTGCATCCTTTTATTTTCCCTTTTTAAATTTAAATTTTAAAACAATAATACTTCTTTTTATCTAATTAACAAACGAGCATTTATTTTTATGTGTAAATGCTTTATATATATATATGTCTATTACCCCTAATTTTGTTGTCTTATAATTTGTCCCTTTTTGATTGATTAATGCTAAAATTTACTTTCAAACCAAAATCTCTTTCGAAGGAAATTTTTTGAGATGATTCAGAAATTTTCTGCATTTCATTAAATGATTTAAGAAGAATTATTTAGCATCTGAGAGTTTTAAAATTGACAAATTATTACCTATCTTTATCATTTTATCAGATATTATTCTAATCAGTTGACAACTCAATCATTAGAATTGTTTGAACTTTCAATGTTTCATAATTGAAAATTTAGTCAAAAAAGAAAGTATGAACAAAAATCAGAATGGATCATTTCATAAACATGCAGAATTAGCAATTTTTAACTTGAACTATACACATGACCTTAGAATTTACCCGGGAACTATCGGAAATTCCAGTGAAATAATTGGAGAAAGTAAATTTCAGTTTATTTAACTCTCATAACTACTTATACAGTTTGAAATGACAGAAATTGCCGCTTTCTTCGTTGCAAAATGGACTTGTTTTGCTTTAGTTCCCTCCTGTTACAACACAACAGAAACAAAAATAAACAGCAGGAAAAATATTTCTCTCTTCTCATACCTCAATATTTCTCTTTCTCCCTCCTTCCTCGCATATTTCAACAGAGTAACTAGCAGATGGGAGGGTGAATGCTATGAAATCGATGATCTACATCTGCCACTTATTTTTTTGTGTCAAATCGATATCAGGACATCGCGAAAAATGAATCGTCATCATCATTAACTTCAACGGCTGGTTTTTGTCGGGATACTGTATCAGCTAGTGGGAGCCAATTATAATATAGCAATGGGCGTAACCATTAAATGGGTAATGCGTTTTGTACTTATGAATAAGTTGTGAAACAGGTGTCCCGTACCATAATGAGTAAGTACACGAGTTAAGATAAGATAAAAGCTTGATCCATAATTACTATGGGTAACTTTAGCCATTTGTTGTGTATAAATTTCTGAAAGCTCTAAAAAATAAGCCTCATTGCTTCATACAGAGAAGAAGAAGGAATTAGAAAATATTTCTAAATAGGTTAAAGGATAATTTGAGTTATGTGAACTGGAGAGGTCAAAGGTCAAGTCTAATCTGAGAAGTTGCATGTTATTCGAATCAGCGTGAAAGAGAATATTGAAAAAAAAAGATTCATCTAACAACCATAAAAGCAAGGGATTTATAACCACTTGAAGTGCTGATAACTTGATATTAATGAGGTTAAAGTTAGCCATCTGGACAATTCAACCAACAACAATTATATTCGGTATAATTCTTTTTAATTTAAATCAAAGGGATCAAGTGTCATTATCTTTTGCTTGTTAATCGAGATATTTTCTTCACGGAGTAAGAGGCTTTGATAAATTTTTTCTCAGAAGCAATGTTTCTTAGAAAAGTGGAGAATCATTTAGCTTTGCAAAAAAAAACTTATCTTTGTTTCCCAACAAAGTTTAAAATTTAGCACCGCTCAACTTGGAGCATGGAAAAAACAATCACTAATACTCCAATAATTCTTTAGTTTATTCTGTTTCGCTCAAAACGAAACTCAAACAATGAAGAAAATAAAACTGAAAAAAATTAGTGCCCGCAGCGAAATGTTGGACAAATGAAAAGGCTGACATAGGGAATTAAAAGATATTGTAGGATGGTGCAACACTGATATTCTAGAAGTTACTCGGACATGAGATTGATACACAAAGTGAAACTTATACAATAATAGGAAAAATAATAGCTGTGAAAAGAACAGTTGAAACATTTACTGACATCCATTTTTCCATAATACTAATTCTGCATGTTCTTCAAGATGATTTTTGTGAAGGCAAAAACATCCCGCTTGAAATTTATGTAAAAATTACAGTTATTCACATAAATAAACCACAAGCTAAAAGAAATTATTTACAAAAAAGGGCAAAAATACTGGAAGATCAAATATTAAAAATATAGAACTGTCTAACAAGTAAAAACTGAAACCAGTACTGAATAGACATCCAAAATTTGCAGTGTTACTGTACATCAAGCGTGTTTTCCAACCAGCATATATCAACAATGGTCGTTTTCTTTGGTAGGTTATCATACATTATTTTCCTAAAAAAAAGTGTTTTGTTTCAATTTTAAAACAATATCTTGAAAAATATTGTAGTGTCCACGTAAATAAGAAAGTGAATAAAAATTTATAATTTAACTGTAGGTATTTAACTACTTACATATAATAAAATACTTTTAAAAAGACTTGCTTTTGATAGGACAAGATTATACCTGTCAGGGACTACTATATGAGTAACAACACTACTTTGCTTTGCACTCAAATCAGCACCGTGCATTCGCAATAAGATTTGAGTGTATATTTTTTGGATTTTCGTCAAATCGTCATGTAAATAAAACGTTTGGCCATAAAGTCGATCAAATTTGTCATCCATAAATAATTGTTTTCTCAGTGCTTTCTCAGCAGCCAGCGGTTTCTTCCGCTAAAAATTCTGAACGATAGAAAATCAATTCTTGTCTAAAATTCAAAATAGTACGAAATAGGATAATAAAACCAATAAGTATATGTTTGAAAACTTGACTTAAAACTAACTTACGTTAGGCATTTTTATCTTGTCGAGCAAACCACTGACACTTGCAATTGTATATGCAGTAGGGTTCGCTGATATGAGGGAAGTTCCCAATTCTCTATCATCTCCAAATAATGAATAAAGACTGTCGTCAACAACGTGAATAGCTTCCTTCTTCGTTCTTAATAGTGAATTTAAAATAGCAGATGGAAAGTTTTTAGTTTTCATTGTTACTGCAGGTGATACAAAAAAATTTTTATGATAGCAGAAACGAACTTCAGGTTTCCATATTAATATTGTGTGACTATATCATAAAAACATATGAGACGAGAGTGGGACAGGAATAATAGAACACCAAGGAATTTTTTTCATGGATTAAGTTAAACTAAAGTCAAACAATGCAGAGAGAAACAAAACATTCCTGAGATGGTAAAGACAAAAAGAACTGAAACTTTGCAAGTTTCATATATAAGCTTCAATTGTAATAGAAGCAAATGACAAAGAATAAAATTTGTCCGAAAATTTTACTGCTAAGAATTCTCTTTAATTTTAAATAAAATGTTTTGCAAATTAAAAACTTACATAGGTATGACTTTGCTCACATTTCTGCATGCTACAAGCCAATCTGCACTGACCACATTATATTTGTTACTTTTAATAATCGACTTTGATTTCACATGTTTGGGCTCTCCAGTTACAACAAAAAGTGTTTTCGGACCTCAACACAATTTAACAGAAATTACTAATTTTTGTAATTTACGAATAAAATTATAAATAAAAACGACAATAATATAACTAGAATAAAATAATGAATAAAACCTGGATTAGCGACGTGAATTCCACCAAATGAAATAATGATCTCCTGCAAGTCCTGGGTTGTTACATCAGAGGTACCTCTTAAGACACAAATTTGTTTCCCTTTCAGGTCTTGATTTATTTCATTGATCCGTGCTTTCTTAGCTTGATATTTTTCAAGTACGTGTACGGTTGTTATTCGCTTTTTTGAATGTGTTATGTTCTGAGCATTTTTTATACTGCCTAGACGTAAATTCTGAAAAAAATAGTACTTTGCAATGTCAATTATGATATTCCAAAAAAAATTTCTAAACAAAAGAAAAGTAATACGAACCTTATCGAAGTCTAAAAATGCTTGATACTGGTCGATGTCTTTTACATATTTGTCATCCCGATATGTTTTCAGAGTCGGAGCATACAATCGGCTATTTCTTAATCCTTTGGCTCGAATCTAGTATAGATTTTGAAAATCAAATAAAAATCTGATCAACTGAAATAGTTTGAAAAGCACTTAATTGATTGATTTTGCTTTGTCAAAAAAATACCTCAACAACTTGTATGTTATCCTGTTTTATAAAATGAGTTGGCAAATCGTTTGATGTATAATCTTCATGAATCCAGCTTGGAATCCTGTCACTTTTGAAGAATCCACAATCTCGCGTCAAACGATTTTTGATAAATGTACGTGTCGTGTCGTCTAATCCTGTTCCTACTTTGCCGACCATGAAGAACTTACCATCTAAAAAGCCAAACTTATTAAATCACACAGCTGCATTATGGAATTATTAGTTTTAAATATAGAAAAAATTGAACCCAAAATTTAAAAGGTTCATTGATGACAAAGATGTACTGTTAAGGAGAAATAACATAACAGCACCTCTAAGCGTAGCTACACAATAATTACTGATTTTATCATTTCTACCAAGATCGACACCAACAATTGCAAGATCCAGTGTCTCATTACCCAAGTGGAACGGTTTTACCTAAAGCGTATATAATTTATTTACAGGAGTCACCATTCAGAAAAAATCGCACAATTCTTCTTAGCAAAAGGATTAAACTACTTTTGATAAAATTGAACACATAAAAACATATGGCATAAGAGATTATATACTTTTGAACAAATAAATACCTTAAACCAACCATTTGCCATGTGACGCATGCCCATTTTATAGGTCGAATCCATTTTCTTCGCCACGATGCCCTCTTGACCATTTATTACAGCTTCTTCGTATATTGAAGCAAATTCTTCTCTACACAAATGAACGGAATAGATTAATAACTATCATCTAAAATTTTTCAAAAACTTCTGATATCTGTTATCTAAACCTACTGGCCAGGTATAACAAAATTGCTCCCTGTAAAATTTTGTAAACTGCTGCACTCCATTTTATCAATCCTCAACCTTCTTCAACGTAAACACTTACAGTCTACTTCATACTTGAATTAATCGATTTTATTGATTTTTTTCTTCAGATATGATAAGTTTATATTAAAATAGTCTATACTCGAAAAGAAAAATCAACCTCGTTTTGACGACGGTGAACTTTGACACGAATATTTTGGTCTCGTCTTGCTTCTGTAAAACATTCCCACTTTGAAGAAGGGCAAGTCTTTCATTCAGTGGAACATCTATTAGTGGTTTTCCATTCAAAAATAAAATGTCAAATACAGCAACACTTGGTTCTACTGCACCATCTGTTCTCAGAGCTTTCACATCATAAATGCGACCATCCGATGCCTGCTCGTTATGACCAACTATAAGGAGAACATTTTATCAGAAAATTAGAAAATTTAGCATTCTTAATGTGATGAGGATTTTAAAAACTAAAAAAAAAGTTTGAAAAGTATTAAAAAATTTACAACAGTAGATACACAGTTTTTTGATTAGAAATTAAGAGTAAAGGCGACTATTTGCCAATTATGAATGATACGATCTAGAACATTTTGGAAGACTGCATTTTGTATTATAGTATACTGAGCCACATATCTCAGTGCGTTGGAAGATTTGTTTTATCAAAGCATCCGTTTTATCACTAGACTAGTTAACTAACCAAATCTTTCGTCAATGGTATCCCAGAGTAATAATTCAGTGTCCAGTACACAACTTTCAACAGAAGGAGCAAAATATGGATTGATTCTATGATCCAGTATTGGTGCTATGGTATTTGTAAAGTCATTCTGAACCCGCGAGTAATATCGCATTTCGCAATTCGGTCCTCTGTGCAGCAAGAAATGTTCACCGTCATATTTTAATTCCACATAAAATTCTTGGCCACAGAAACGAACCAGCTCAAATTCAAATTAAATTACCTGTTTAGCATACAAATCATTTGTTTCAGCAAATGGATTTACTCACAAGAAAAAGCTGGAAATTTTCGAATCCTCAAGTAACTATGTATTAATATACGATTGAAATAATTACTTTGTTATAAACATCTCCAGTACCGTGCCTGATTCTTGATAATAACATTGGTTCAAAACGGCGGAAAAGCATGCTCGAGTTATCTGTCATTTTACCTTCCGCAGCAAGATCACATATTTCCCGTAAACTGACGCCAGATTGATATAATTCAGCTCCATTCGGATGTATCCAACTTATTAAATTTGCGGATGTTACGTTTAAGGAGCGCTGAAACGTATTTTCGTAGCAAGAAGCATTATTTAGGAAGCGTCTTATCATGCATTATTTTCAAACAGCTTATGAAGAAAATGCCAAACTGCACAAATTCTGTGATTATCGAACCATCCGCAGTATCGGGATCACACAATCAAAATAGAACGGGTTCACTTCACTAATTTTTTTTTTCACGGCTGGAAAAGAGATGTGGATTAGACTAGCATAATGAAAAGGTACTCACAATACATAACTTACTTCAATCTTACGAACCAATACTTGCAAAAGCCAGTAAACTTCGCGTACTGTTGCGCAGGCCTTTAAAAGCTTCTCTAGTTCTTCGTTACCTGCAAAAATGTAAGTTAAGAATAATTCAGAATTTATTTATAGCTAACTAAACCTCTTTAATTAAAGCTAACGAGTGCACTATACAAATGAATACTTACTTATTTCTCCTTTCGTTATTTTGCACAGCGAATCGTTTACATCAAAAAGAGACAGCTCACGTTTAGCAATAGCTGGATTTCGCATTGAAACTTCTTCTGCTATTTTCATAATCGACTGGTCTGCACTCTGGAAATAATTTATGGCTAATTATTTTGACTTTTGGGAAATTTCATTATTATATTATTATTATTATTGTATTATTACTATATATTATATTTATTATTATATTTATTATTATTTAATTTGTTATTATTATAGTGATGCGAACCACGGTTCGCATCACTATAATAATAACAAATTAAATAATTTTTATCCGCGATTTTGATAGCTGAACTAAAACAATGACAACTAAATGAATGAATGATATTGGTCAGTAGGTAAATTTCATTATATTTAAGAAATTAAACTTGTTACTTTATAGCAAAAACATAAAGGTTCCTATTACTGTTATACATATCATAGATTGTATTAAAACGTAACTGCAACACAAATTGCAGATGATGTAAATTGTGATGCAATTACATGTAATGGTGTACAATAGAGTATTTTTACATATGAAAGTTTCCTCAAAGAGAAAAACAGCATTCATGATATAAATGAATACATTTACCTTGGAATCTATCTGCAACAATTCCTTCTTCGTCTTTGGAGGAAAAAACAACACTTCGCATACTTTCGATATAACTCGCTTCTGAAAAATTCATTAGTGCTAATGAAATCAGTCACAAGCATTGCATTTTAAACAGGATGTTCCAACTTCTTTCCGAAAATTATGCTTTATATTACACGACTACGCTTAAAATGCTTTATATATGACTAATGAATAACTTTTCCTTCTTAAATTTTATCACAAACTAACGGATTTCATCCGAAATTTTCGTCGATCCAATGAATTAGCCATAATACGTAAAACTGGGTAAAAGCTAACGGCCTTATTTGTAAATTTAGAAGCATTCGCTGTCCATTTTGTAACTAATGCTTTTAATAATCGCTGCTTGCCGAACTTATTCTTGAAATGAATTCGCTGCATACGATCTAAGCATTCGCACAATGTTCCATATTTGAAATTTCGAGAAATTTCTTCTTCCAAACTGCTTGCCGCTGCACTTCCCACTTCTTGTTCATCTTTCTCAGAACTAATATCAATGCCTTCCGCTGATTCTTCGCCAGTTTCATCACTATCGGACATTGAGCAAACAGTACTTCTAATTAATTTATTACATTTAAATTTCGGATGGAAACATATACATAAAGATCATCGAAAAGATTTAAAAACATGGACGATGTTAAACAATCGCAACAAGAAATAAGTAAAATATTTTCTCAACATGAATCACATAAAATCAGTAACAATTCCGGGAACGTAATAGACGCCACATATCAACTCATCAAGAACAACACATGATCAGGTGCAACGGAGACATCTAACGGCCTCTTTAATATATCAACTTGGAATGGGAAATGTTGGTCTTTGTCATGTGAAAGACCTAAATGAGAGAACCTGTTAAGACCCCAAGAAAACAGATTATCCATTCTTGAAACAGCAAACATCGAGGAATTACCAGCAAAAACCTTCTTGACTTTACCCGAATCATTTGGACCACCGCTGAAAAGATTATTTTCCAGGAGCGCCGGTCGTCGTAGTGACGTAACATTGGGTCCCATACCGAGGATTCCAAAACCCCAAACATAAACTTGATCATTGCTACTTAATGCTATACAAGAAGTTGCCGTAGAATCTGCTAGTGCAATTTTCTCCATTGAAAGACGAATCTCACATGGAAAACTGCTTTGAATGTCTTTTACAAATGGATACATTTGCTCGTATTCATTCTGTCCCCACATGAATAATTCGCCGTTCTTTGTCACCGCCATCAAAGTATCCGTGCTTCCTCTTAAAGTTGCTACTTTCAATCCCTTCAAATCACCTTCAACTGGTAAACAACGCCAATCATATTTGCATTTTCCGCGTCCCAATTGTCCGTCTATACCTAATCCGAATGAAAATACCTCACCAGAATCCAGAATGATGAATGATGTATCTAGTGTACAATGTATCCGAGCAATTTCTGAATCCGAAGGAATCGTAATTTTTTCATATGGTTTATTTTCCAGTCTCACAAAGGGTACATTTTCAGGATCCTGTCCGCACTGTCCATGAGCATTGTCACCAAATGCATAGACTGCTTTTTTTGATGCAACCAGAAAATGTCGTCGGCCAGCCGAAACGGCTATTATATTACCAAATCCCTCATCCCTATTAGCATTCAAGCAAATACCTTCACTCCAATAATTGCTATTATCTAAATCGTTGCTAAAAATATCAACACCACCACCATAAAGTTTCCGATCCGATGCCAAAACTGAGAAGCCAAACCCGGCTGCAATATGACGAATATTACGCGAATTAAAATATTGGATTTGTCTGGGATTCTTGAATCCTTTCTGTCCGGTTTCTCGCAATGCCCTCGTAAAAAGACTTCCTGTTTTTCCGAAACCACAACCATACACAAAGTTACTTTTTTTAGCTTTCAACTTAGCAACTGCTGTAGCTTCTCGAATTGCTGTCGATTTCATTATTCTGAAGTCAAACTCGAAATTAGTTTAAGAAGTCAAATTTACTGCCATAAATGCAAATAATGTGATGAATTATCAAAAATGAGAGCCCGTTTCGTTACTTTTAGACAATTACATCAAACATTTGTCGAATTTTAGAGAACGAAAACTGAATGGTAAAATCTACCAAAATTTATGAAAAAAATAGCAAAATCGAAAAAACTAACGAAAAGGAGCACAACAGGAGTATGACACATGCGGAAAGAATACTGTAAGCCACAAAGGCCGTAACATTTGTTTTAAGAATTGTCTAAAGTTTAAAGCTTAATATGCTTCGAGCATTGACAAGCCCAATCCAATACATTCCTGTGCTCCGATAAGTCCATAAAAAATTAGCACCAAGATTTAACGAATACCGTGAAAAAGTTCCGTTGAAATCCACGTGATAGCAGTTGTTGCTTATTTGGACGGGATGGGAGCGTTAGTCATTAAACAAAAGTGTTGAGGACAAATTTTGTTTAATTAATTAATGTTCCTTCTTTCCTTCTTATTCATATTTTTATAGAATAAAAATAAGAAACGATATACCTATCAATGGTTTAGTGTACAATGGAACAATTTGAGGATGTTAGCGAACGTGAACAGCGTTTCCATCAATTCATCCGTCAACATATCGTAAGTGTATCATTATGTATTTTTGTAAATGATCCACATTCATTTATAGAAGAGTAGTTTTTTTCTGTTTTCTTTTTATTTTATCAAATAATAACTAGAATTGGTTTCTGCTCGTTTGGAGAATTTTTTTTAATTTCATTTCTTATCCGAGATTTTGAAAATTCGGACTTTACATAAGATATCTGTATAAGAATATTTCAGCCGTATTTTTTCTTCAGTGATACATAGATAAGTTGAAGTCGTTATTATAAGATTCACTTTAGATTACTTTATAGTATGCGCACCAAATATGATGATGTATTTTTGCAGATTTGTCTGTTATTGTTTATATGCTTATATCTAATTTCGTATTCAATTATTCGCCTATTGAAAGAACGAAGCGATAATGATGAGTTGTACGCTGGTGGCGAGGATTTTTTTGTTTTTCGTGTTTCGTAAGTTTAAACTTATAATTTAGCAGATAAGAGTGTTTTCTGAACCTTTCGGATATTAAAATAATGTTGCTTAACTTTCATTTTGTTGATAATTGCATTAATGCTGTTCAAGTTTTGCAGTTTATGGATGTGTACATGGTCCTTGGCAGTATCGATGGGAGCTGCCACATTGCTACCGTTTTCAGTGGTTGGATCTGAAATAATACAGGCATATCCGGACAATTACTATTTCCAGTGGTTGAATTGGCCTCTGATTCATTCACTTTGGAATTATATTTTTGCTTTAAGCAATCTGTCGTTGTTTATACTTCTTCCGTTTGCTTATTTTTTCATTGAATCTCAAGGATTTAAAGGCCATGGAAAGGTAATGATTTCTTATAATTTATTTCTTAGTTTGAAAATTTCTCAATTTTTCTCAGTCCTGAAAAATCACGAGACTGCCACCATTCCCTTGTTATTCAATGCTTCCAGCTTTTTATTTCATCTTGCATTGGAAAGACACTTTCGATGTCAGTAATCAAACCATTAATTTTGGTTCAGCACCTATATAAACTCTCAGCAGATGGAATTTTGTTGGTCAAAATAGGGTGTTTCCGCAGTGAATGAAACGTCTAGATCATATATCTCTTTGCACTTGGAGAGAGTTCAATCATTTGTAATTTAAAAAATCAGTTAGGTTAATGGGTTGGTTAATATCATTGAATATTGTTTGTCATCATGAGGCAAATGCGATCGGATGACAACAAGTCCCCGTAATGAATATTAATGATTTTGATTCGCTGACATCACATCGTTTTTGAAGTAAAATTATTGACATTTCGGCATAATATTTCCTAGAAATTTTTAGGGCATAATGACTCGAGTATATGAAACTGTTGCTGTCTGCATACTTCTTATTATCGTTTTAATATGCCTGGCTGATGTAATATACACTCTTTTTCTCGTAAGTTATCATTTGTAATTATAATTTTTAAAGTGCAGAATATTCTCATCTGCTTGCTGATTTCTCTCTCGCTGCTTATCGGAATTCAATCTGTTATGAAGATATATATAAAATTTTAGAACAAGTAACTACTCGTTTCCTTCAAATTGTTGATTTTCTTCATACATAAAATCTTCAGGCAGAGAGCGCTTCACTTTCATTATCTATACTCAGTTTCACATCAGTCAATCTTCCATTTCTGTATTCTTGTGTATCCTTACTTGGAGTACTGACGTTGCTGATTGCGACTCCTATAGGTAGTTTTTCTTACATTTTTCTGGTTTTTCGAAATTCTTTTAATAAAAAAATTTTATTAATTCTTGGTTATTTCATTGTTTTTTTGACAAATTCTAGGTTTATAACGAATTTTGATAGAATGACAATTACAAGATATTGGAACAGTGATTGTAATTCCAGGATTAGCAAGGATGTTCTCAGTAGTTTCGAATCATCTGCTTGCAACAGACCATAATAAAATCATCGATCCGTCAGAGGAAGCAGTTGTTCGTCTAGAATACCAAACTCTTAAAAGACGATTGCGACGAAACAATCAAGGGGATGTGTCACTTCCAGATCCATTTCTGCCACGGAAACCGCTCCGTGGCTATCAGATTGTATTACAAACAGTGAAATACGTGTCTGCGATCATTGTCTTGCTCATCCTAACTGTAAGTTAATCGATGCGTATCTTTTTATTAAGATATCAAACCATAATTTCTTATTCAATATTTCACTCAATAAGGTTTTTCTGGTTTTACTCACTCATGCATGTGGTTTTTGTTATTTCTTCCGCAATTTTCACATTTTTTTAGTTCTTTTAGACAGTCACTGTACTTATGGTATTAATTAATACGCTGCAATTGCTGTTCGGATTTCGGGCATTACCTGTATATGTGCAATACATGGAAGTAAATTCACGTCATACATTAGGAATTTTTGGAGCTATCGTTGAAGTTCTCATAATTTGGTAAGATATCGAAACAACTGAAGTTAAATAATTCAAATCTTTTATAAGTCTTTAATAGTTTTAATAATTTCTCTATGCTTTTGATTTTATTTCTTGGCTACCAGTATATGGTTATTTAGGTATATAATGGTTGCTGCAATGATTGGAATTTATTCAGTACCACTATTACGAAGAATTCGACCTGAGTTACATAAGACATCCATGACAATGGTGATTGCAAACTGCACAACTGTTTTGGTACTTAGTTCTGCGCTTCCGGTGCTTGCACGAACCCTTGGTTTGTTTCATCGCCATATTTGTTTTCAATGTATGTCGTCATGCTTTAGAGTGTCTCTCACTCATCTCACTCGTCGCTTTTACGTAAAGCTGAACGTTATGTTTTCAGGAATCACGACATTCGATTTGGTAGGAGCGTACGGCAGTTTTATGTGGTTGTCCAATTTCACACTGGTTTGGGCATATAATGTTGCGTTTGCCTTTGTGACAGTTTCTTGTTTGTTGAATCATTTCACTACGCCGGTCAGAAGGGAAATTATTCAGAGGTGTGAAGATTTATTACTTGTTATCATCTCCAACTCTACCTCAATAGATTTCAAATGAATGCATATGCCAATACTGAAATTAATGATGAGATTCATAATGAAAATTAATTTAAAACTGAGACGTTGTTTTTTATTATCAATATCGTTTCTCGATGCTTTTTTCAAAATGTTGAGATTTTGAAATTTCAACGAATTTTTTTTCTTAAATCAAGTTCCAGACTGCGTTTAGTAATTGTGTTTTTCGTCGTGTTGGCATGCATGATAGTAGCGCAGATTTTTCTACGCCCTGCAAATATCGCGTAACTGAATTATTCTAAAATATTGTTTTCAGGATTTGCGATCTGTCTTATCGGATAAAAACAACTGAAACTGTTGAAAAAATGGATTAGTTTGTATGTTGTATATATGTTTTATTTGTAAATATGCAAAATATCATTTCGAAATGATCTCATCGCAAAACTTGAAGTTGTGAAAGAAAGACAGGTGGATGATTACTGTTCTGTGTTTTTGAAAAATAGTGTTAGTATTGATCATACAGCTGTGCATATTCATTAGTCATATGACTGAAGTTTTGTACTGCCGACAGTAAAGTCGCGGTATTTCATTTTAATTTAAAACTTAGCAAACATGATTTAACTTTAACAACCACCAGTCTTTTTGTTTCTCGGAAGTATATTTCATGTGAGAAAGAGAAATTCAAATTGAGGTGACAGGTTTCGTTTTCCCTGGAATATGAACAGTTTGAAGAAGGTGTTTTCCTTTTCTTTTTCGTGTTTTAAAGATGATAGGAAGGAGTTAAAGAAGCAAAAACCTTTTTGCAGAAATTCAGTTGCATCAAGTGGCATATAAATAACTTTCACATTTCTGTACTGCACTTTTTGTCGATTTGCCTGTAATTAAGGACAATTCTGTCATTAATATGTAATTATTCTGAACTGTGTGAATATTTTATTCATGAGATTTTCCATATCATTTTTATGCTGAAATAGAAAAATGAAATATGAATTAATTTGCTAAACTACAAAAAAAGAAGCATAAACGTCTTGTTGAAAGGCTATCTATTCTAAGCTGCATGATTGCATGTGAAGTGAATGGTGTCTAGAAAAGCTATATAATAAAAGGAATAATTTTATGTGGATTTCATGACTATAAAATTTATTTCAAAAGGATTATGTCACTATTCAAATATTTATAATCCTATGTTTTTAGCAAAAATTTTAGATAGAAGGGGGATTAAATTTATTATGTGAAAAGATTAGAGTCCCGTGTGATTTCGTCATTGTATAGTTTGTCGTGCAACCTTTTAATACATGAAAATACTCTTTTCAGAGAGTAATGGTTGTTATTTCATTCAGCTGTACCTCATCCGGCTGGTCGGCTGTTTTTCAATTTTTAGTTATGGAAGAGTATTTTTCGCGGATGACTTTCTACCGATAAATGGTAATGCTTGAATATTTCTCGGACTTAAGCATTATCTTCAAGCATTACCATTTGTCGGAGAGAGTTTTTCGTGAATTATCATGCCACTGTCCCATTGTTTCTCAGCTAATTATATTATCATCATAATCGTTAAGTGACAGTAATGGTAAGTGAATTATTACTCAGTGTTGCAACGAAATATTCATAATTTTTTTCAGTGAAGGATAGATTTTTTCTGTCAAAAGAGAATGAGAATTGACATAAGTTTATCAATTTTACCATAGGCTCATTTATTATCTTTGAAAAGTTTTTGGCTCATTATTCCCTTTGGATTACTTTGCCGCTTTTTAACTCTTTTTTTTATTTGCAATTGTTAATGATGTTGAATAATTTAGCTACTTAAGTTAACAAGAGCTTCTTTCTATGTATTGATATAATAAAACTATTCAAAGTTTGTGAGCACATCTTCCATGAACAGTATAGCATGTATGTGATGAATAATTGAAAAACAAATCTCCTGACATATAATTAACAGAAATATACTTCAAATATAATGCATATGAGATAGCACAGCAACAACTCTACGATTACGAATATATAATCAGATGTGAATAATGTCATGTGAGTGATGGACCATTTGAGATCGAAATAATTTGAGGACACATCGATGGATATCACATATTGGTTCATATCAAGTGCACACTATAGCGGCAACAAGTAATGTCTTATCATAGTCATAATTAATGAAAGAATAATATCATTAATAGGACTGCAATTGAAGACATTAACAATTCTACTCTTCCGTTTTGGTGAAAATGACCAATTTTTTATGACAGCAATGATTGCCAAGTATTTTTAAGGAAAGCAAAGAATTTAGAAGATGATATCAACAAATAATACTACCAAAGCAACAATTCAATAGTAAATGTTGGAAATGAACAAATAAATATTGCGTTCATTTTGTATAAATATGTTCATTTTGTAGTTATAGAAGAAATTCTATAGTTACAAAATGAACACATATACCAATATTGAAATTAATGATGGGATTCATAATAAAAATTAATCTGAAAATTTAAATGGAAATTAATTTAAAGGTGGAATGATATTGATTTTTATTATCGAATGATCTTATACATTCATCGTTTTTCACTAAACCGATGAATTATCACAGAATGCACTGATTCGACATTACGGCTAATCTCAATGACCATTTCCAGGAGTGTGACCAAGAGAGATGCGAAGCGTTACTATCTTGGCCGACACTTCTCTGCCTTGGTCACCCACACAGCCTAAAAAATCCACTAAGAGTAAATTCATTTAAACATCATGTTCTACCAAATATAGTGATTTTCTGGCAGATTGCAGGGGAGAAAAAAGCGAAGGGAGGAGAGGGATGAATATTTCAAATGGTACTTCATGGAGCATAAACGATAGCATACAACGCTAATCAGGTAAGAAGGAATAGCTTATTAGCTGTGTTAACTGATGGATTAAATTTGACAAATGTAATTTAGCTTTTAGAATATCCCTTTTAAAAAACCAATGCTTTATAAGAGCAGGAAGCTTTTTATCACTTTTTATCAAAAGTATTTATCAATATTTATAAAGAATTAATGCAAAATATTAAATAATGACAAGAAAAACAAAGACAGGCAATTTGCAGATATTTTTTATGCATTAAATATATTTCATCGCTAATTTTTGCTTTTGCTAAGAATCAATCATGATAACCAAGATTGATAAAACCGAAGGTTAACACCATATCGATCTTTATTTATTACAACTACCATCAGAATCACTGAAAAAAGTTAAACTGTTTTTAAAGATATAGAAAACAAAAAGAGGAGAGAAATATTATTATCATATTTTATAGATGTTCCAGAAATAAGTTTGGAATTTACTCGATATGATGTAAATGATAATCGATGATGACCTATCCCAGAAAAATCGATTCTGATATCATCGTATCATAAAAAAAATTCCAAGGCGATATTTCGTAAAATATTGAAAATAATGGAAATGGTAGATTTCAATTTTGAAGAAACCCACCGATAACAAAACATGATAAAGCAATGGCCAACAGTAATAATGAAGCAAACATCACATTACTTGAAAGTTTTATTTCACCGATTCCAGTAATATTTTGTAATATACTCATATGTTCACTATAATCATCATCCTCCTGAAAAAAAGTCGTCTGCACGAAATATTTTCGTACTTCTGAGAATTTTAAAATATTAGTTAGAAAGTTAAGTCGGTCAAATAAATGGTTCATTTGACTTGCGAATGGGAATCAATCATTAAATATCATCATGATCGTACAGCAAAAATTGGAAAAATAAACGAAAGTAAAAGTGATTTGAAATCCAAATGAATTACGATCCTCTTATCGTCACTTCTTTAAATCCTGCGGTAACAAAAAACAAATACCTCAACAATTTTAGTTCCACTACATTTTCCTTTCAAGTCACAATGGATTTCTTCAAAGATAGCCGGTTCATGCAATGTTCGATTGCATCGACAATCAATAAAGCATGCTTGATATTCGATCTTACTTATTAAGTGTTAATATTGGAAATGTATAACTTCAAAAATTATTTAATATTCAAAAATTATTCAACGATTAATTAAAATTCTATTTTAAAGAATAATATAGAACCTTTTTTCGATATTCCACCTCAATGAAACAACCAGCCCCAATTGTAAATATATGATTAAAGAGCGGATATTGTTCGGCCATATCAATACGAGCCCTATCATCCATACCACGTAGAAAATCACCAAGAGTAAAACAACGGTTGCTGAATTAAATTTTTTTTTCCTTATCAAATTAGAAATATAGTACAATTACTATCATTGAAATGCTTAAGCAAATCAATGACTTTACAATTTGAATATAAAAAGCTAAATTCAAATAAGTAAATATAAAACAATCTGACGAAAGAATTTTATATGCGTTACTGCCGCAGAATTAAAAATCGATTGATACCTGTAGTATATATCTAATTTATACCTTAGTGTAATTTGTTGAATTATTTACCTAACCATTAAGCGACCTTTTGAGTGAGCAAAAACATTTCGTATCCTTGGATTTTTGTTTTTGTCGTATAATATTTCATTACGAAATATTTTCAAATATATCTTATCATTCTGAAAAATATATGAATTCGCTTGATTTCAGGATGAAAATAATTCTTTCATAGATCAGATTTTAGATTCTATCATCAAAGATTTTTAGAAATGAGAAGTGAATATTTGAAGACCTCTGATAATTTTGAGAAAAGCAGAAAATTTGAAGATTGTTAAGTTTCACTTATTATTAATTTTAATAGCAAACTTTTGTCAATTCCGCCATCGTTTTTCTATGTAGGAGAATTTCATAAGCGAAAAAAGGTGACACGCAACGATCGCCATGGATATTATAATCTCGAGGTCCATAATATGGAAAACGTCGACGTGTAGGGCCAACTTGCGCAACAGGCCAGCAAGCTATCTGAAAAGTGATGAAAACTTGTGACTTGTACAAAATGCATAGTTAGAATGTTGTATTATTTTCCTTCTCGCATTCGTTGAAGTATGTAACTGACATTGTTATCTTCACATGCTAAAAAACATGGTCTCCAACGTGTGAAGCGTGGTCCACCATCACCTCGAAATGTTCGCTCACGATCCATGATATCAGCACCGATATCTTCGAACAAATCAGATAACCTATATGAGAATTTTCATTTTAAATTTTACTCGTGTGCTTTGAAATTTATAGATGTTTAAATTTAATAATAAAGTTGAAACGTATATTTTTCATTCACTAGAAGAGTCAGTTAAATGATTTTAGTACAGCATTTTTGTTTTTACATGGTAAATTAGAAAACGAAATGTGCAAAGTTTCACGTGACATGATATTTTGTAAGGGTCATAAATTACATATAATTAATAGCTCTTAAAATCAAATAATATGTCTACTTTTAGATAACATAAGTTCTTGGCCAATTGAATAAATTTTTACAACACTTCTTGGAGCCATTTGAAATTGCATACTTACCAGTATCGTCGTTCCGGAAATGGATCATCAATATCTGCATATGTCCAAGGACCAGCTATTCGTGTCTGTGATCCTGTCTGGTAGCAACGTAGACGTGTGGAAATATCACTAGGATAATTTCGGATGTAATCAGTGAAATAGATTGGAATGAACATTGGCCTAATTTGGGGATCGATGCGTACGACACTTAACACGTCGATGATGTCACTCAAATCTAAATTATTAATGAGTCAATAAATGGCAAGGTGTTAAGAAAGGTAGGATTATATAAACTTTTATTTCACATTAATGCACATACTGCTACTCTTTTCAAATAATATATACTAAGTACCAGTTGAGGAGTTGTTGTATGAAAAAATCAAAATGTGAACTGTGATGTTGAATTTAAATTTCAAACAAAAACAAATTGAAAATCTATGAAGAATGTAAAATTTATGGTATCAAAATGCAAAAGACAATTTAGGTATATTGCTAGTAAGAGCGCAATTGACGAGAAGCCACAATACAATTTCATTTATTAACTTAATGAAGGAAGGAACTGCACACCTTTAATAGATTCACTATTTGTTTCAACTTTCGGCGCACCATTAAATAATGATGATGAATGCAACATATATGGAAAAAACATTTTTGCAAGACAAAATTCCGGATGATTATATGCTTCACACTGCTTGAAACATGCCTCACGTCGAATCCGAGATTCATCCTAAAATTATGAAATCTCATGCGAAACCATCTACAATCATTGATAGCTTAACCTTTGACTTTGCTTCAATTACTGTAAATTAGTTGCAATGCTCAAAAATATAAACATTGATTTATTTTTTAAACATTGCCTTATATCCATGTATGCTACTCAAAATTTTTTTAGTTACTAAAATTAAAATTTTTAATAAGTCTTTTAAATGCCAACCATTATAAAGCACCATGGTCCCATATACCAATCATCCGGATTACGGCAATAATTTTCCAATGAATGCATTTCAGTTGATAATGTAGTTGAAGCATATTTTATGGATGGACCATAATAACTGCTAAAATCGGTTGATTGAAAAGTTGAATTTACTTCATCCCAACGTAAACAAGTTTTTCCACTGAAAAGAAATGACGAAATTTTAGTATGAAAATATATATCTTAGCAATCAGTTAATCTAATAATTACTTTTACAATTTATTATTTGATAAACTTCGCGATTATATTAGTTAATGTAATCGAAAAAGATTATAATTTTAATTGATGAAAAGAAACTGAAACTGACGAAAAAGAAACAGATTGCATTCCTCGATACCACGACATACGGTCATTTGATTTTCTGCAACTTATTCGATGATCAATGACGTTCACGTTGCACGTGCCAATGAAATATTTCCCTTTTACAAATTTTAAGCAAATGTCTTGTCGGAATTTGGGACGTTTGTAGCAAATTGGTGCAGTAATATTAATGTTAAACATTTTGAAGATATGTTCGGTAGTGGAATTCCTGGGAAAGAAAAATTCTTGTAAAATCAATTTTAAAAATTTAAATGAATTATATGATCTGAAATATTTGGTTTTTCAGTGCGATGAACTTTCTTGTAAATTATTTTATTATAAATGTAATGCTAATTTATCAGCTTAAGATAAAATAAATGTTTGCTAAAGTTGTGCAACTTGAAAGTTTTCGAGGGAAGGAATTCATTTAAAATAAGCTAAAAAAATTTTTGAATTTCTTGTGCTAGTTTTTGACGAGTAGAAGTTATATTGTATTGCCACCAATCATAATATTTTAAGAATTTAAAGTAGGCAAGTAACAATGTGTCATTCGTTTCCTAATGCATCTATGACCTTCCGATTGTAGAAGTAATATCGTACTACCACTAGTCATAATATTTTAAGAATTTAAAGTAAGCAAGTAACAATGTATTATTCTTTTCCTGAAGTATCTATGACCTTCCGATTTGATAAGTTAATTTTTATTTGGAAGACAGGAAAGAAGCTAATGCTTTTACATTTTCGGAACTTGCTAAGCTAAAAAGATGGACATAAGGTGATATCGAAGACCGGAAGGATATCTTTAAAAACAAAGCAGTTATACTTGAAAAAATGGCTATTGTTTTTACATACCGTTCCAGACATCCAGCATTGCTAATTTCTCTCTTACTTATCGTTTTGTAGCAATCTCGATCACAGTACCACGGTATAGCTGAAAGATTCCAAAAATTCGCCCAAGCATTTACATGTGAAAGCCATACAGGCAAGATAATCAATACTATTAATATCATCACAGACCGCTCAAAACGAAATGAATGAATTTGATGGATTTCTTGGCTGATGACTCAATATTAATTTTGTTCATTAAACGATAAAATTTTCACAATCATTTTGATGACGATCAATACGTTAAGATCATATTAGATTATATGATTATAATTTTATAATCATATAATAATAATCACACCTTAATAATCATACCTAATAATCATACCTTATTTATATGTTAATAATTTTATATATTAAGATTATATGTTTACGTGGTGGTACAATGAAATGAAATTTATTGAATTAAAAAAAAAGCACGTCACGTTATACGATAGGAACAGTACGTGTAATATCACGCATTTATAATTATCACAGTTACTATATCCAAATATTGAATAATATTCGTTGTTATGATTGATAAATTTTGTTTTATTTCATTATGTAAACTATCTGTGCTTATTCATTTCGGTGCAGCTATTTTATTATCTGTTTTTTGCATTAAAATAAGCAAAGGTAAAAGAGGGAAGTTTAATAATAGTCTATTGTTTTCACATCTTACCACTTCTTTTTCCCGCATTTAATTTCTTGTTGAAAAGAATTGGTATCAAATTTGTAGTGAAATATGCTACTATTTGCTATAATCCATTTACTAATTACTATTAATTAATTAAATTTTTGTTGGCAATCATTGATCGTTAAATCATCGAAAATATTTCCAAAATGATTAAATAGTAAAGCAATTTGGGAGCACCTGACAAGATGGAAAACAAGAATGATTTGATTTTATTTGAAAAAATTCATCACTTTATTGCATCTGATAAGGTGCATCTGATTTATTGATACTACGGAAGCGTACGTATAAAGTGTACAGTTAATTATCAATGTGATACGATATAATATTTTCACGTCTTATCCTATTTACTTTTCATTCTTTCTAGAATATCAACAAAGTAATCTTAAAGCACATTATTGGATTATAACATCAATTGCCGCTGGCTTCTTTGGGTCATTGTGCAGATGGTAGAAATATGAGACCGCATCCGTTTCAGTTATATCGTCAATTGTTAATGTACCATTTCTGAATGATAATCGATCACCGTATCTTTCACGCTGAAAAATAGTTGTTATTACGAAATGGCTTTCAATACTTCAAGAGGAATGAATGGATTTTAGTATTTTGAAAATACTCAATGGATGGAAGTGAATAATAAATGAAAGATGAAAGATAAGTGTAACGGAAGAACAAAAAATATCTTGTTTACTATTAATGAAACGATGTACCGCAAATTTAGATTATAAAATTTACACCATAGTTAGTGATCGCTCCGTTCTTTACAATATCCATGCGATCTTTTTGACGTTCACCAGCTTCCGGAATTGCGGCTTGAACATTCATTACTTCAGCACCAAGTTCTAATTGTAAGGTTTGGCCAAGTTTTGATGGTTGTACCATTAGTAAACCTGAGCCTTGTGCAAATAGCATTGCCGCAGTGCAAGCAAACAACAAAATTTGCATATTGATGGAAGAGTTTTTTTCCTAAATCAAAAAAGTAGCAAATATCTTTGATATCAAACGTACGTTTTTAGCAAATTGTTTCAATATGAAAAAAGATTCTGTTACATTTAATGAAAGCACTCACTCAGTTTAACAACCGCCCAAATCATTGAAATTTCATTTGAGAGATTTAGTTGTAAGGGTGTTAACTGTTGGAGCCATTTAAGATATTGACATTAAAGGTCAAGTAAAAATCTTTGAAAAATTGATAGGATTTTTGAAGCAAAAATTTTCATTAAAGCTTAATTTTTAATTAGGATCATTTTATTAACAACATAATAAACAATTACCAAAAGCCTTCAGACAGTTGCAAATTGCTAAAACTCAGTAGAAACTTAATATCCTAAAAACGGTCAAATATCGTTTCATCCAATAAAGAAACCTACCATACCTTCACTTCAAACCATTTGATACTTACAAAACTATCGGCAGATAATTTAAACAGAAAATAAACAATTCCCAACAATTAATCGCCACTACCATAAGATTTCTGACGAATGATAAGGATAGGGACATTATCGATGCTTCAATATCATCGAGGTCAAAAGAGAACTATTCACTTAATGACCCGGTCTATGTCATCGGATTTCTTGCAAGGACAATTTCGGCAAATTTCCAAAATAAAATATTTCATGAAATTGTTTTTTGAATTTATTAACTTTCTTTATGTCAAATCTTTTAGCAGTGAATTCTTTTTAATTTACTTTTTATTCAAAACAAAACCTAATTTAATCTTATCCAATTTGGGTCCTCAGTTCTCGAAAAGATATAACAGTATGAAATACTGTCTGATTGATAGCTGCTTTCCAAAGGTGTTAAAAAATAAAAAACGGTGCCGAATACATCAGGTAGTATTTGTTAATAGTATTTCACATCTCCAACAGAAATAAAACAATGATCCAATTTTACAACAAAATTCTTCAATTTTTCTGCAAAATTCTCCTTTTACTTTCGACATTTTCCACTTAAGCTATCATTCAAAGACGCTATCTTAGTGATAAAATATGATGTTATCAATGGAGAAGAGATTTTTAAAAAAACAATGAAATTAATTTATACGATTCAAAATTTTGTTAATTACTCTTCTTTAATATGAACAAATCAAAAATATAGGAAATAATACTCGATGGAATTTTCGCAACGGTGGCAACAAGTAATTGTTTAAAAAAAATTGACTTTTTTTTTAAATACACAATTTCATTTGTTTTTCTTCAGCTAATTACGAAAGGTTCCTATCTTTTCGAATTATACAACTGTCCACTAATACAAATTCAATCAATCACACATTCTTATGATTCATTCAATTTGAGCGGAAAGTTTTAACTACAGATCGGATAAATAAACTTTACTGAAAAAATAAATAAATGATTCATTAATTCTATTAAATAATTTATGAGATTGAACTTGAAAAACTAATCTCTTTCTTTTTCTAATAGAAATTTTGTTAAGGATTAGTTTTCAACATTTGCACTAACTTTTTTCTTTAATGCAAATATTATGATAGTGTGTGTATGTGTGTGTGTGTGTGTGTGTATGTGTGTGTCTGATAAGTTGTGTGATAGTGTGATATGTATGATATGTGATGTGTGTATGTGTGTGTGTGTATGTGTATGTATGTGTGTGTCTGATAAGTTGTGTGATAGTGTGATATGTATGATATGTGATGTGTGTATGTGTGTGTGTGTATGTGTATGTATGTGTGTATGTGTGTGCGTGTGATAAGTTTGTTTATATGAAAACATTCTGCTACGATGATACAACATGCCGTTGAAAATTTTTATTTTTCAAAAATTTTAATAAATTACAATTAATAAACAAAAAATGAATTGAAGCAAATAAGAGAAACTTTTCCTTCATCTTTTATTACATTAATATTTGTTAGAAAAATTAGAACGATAAATAGTTGCAGTCATTTGTTTTTTTCATCTGCCAATAGTATCATCAATGATGATACTATTGGCAGATGAAATGTAAACATCAACGATTGTGAAATAATACAGAAATTTTAATCTGATACGATACCAATTAGAACAGTCATTTGTTTATTGATGATAAATATTTGTTGTGGATACATAAATATTTGTTAAATATTTATTGTGGATACATATGATGATAGAATGATAGTGATACCAATAAGAACAACAAAGTATTAGCTTATTCGAAAATTTTGATTTCAAATTTACAACAATCTAAAAGAAGCCAAATGGTCATTTGAATTATAAGCTGTAAGAATGTTTCATTTGTTTAACGTTAATTAATTTAAAATTTATGAATTATATTTATTTCTGTAGAGTGTAAAAATATATTCGAATAGATAAATATTAATTTAAAATAAATAATAAAATCCTTAGAAATTTATAAAAAATAAATAGTAAATATTTGTTGATGGATACATATAATGATAGAATGATAGTGCAATTTAATTTACTGTTAAATATATGAAATAATATATAACTAAGAATACAATCTAATCATCAAGAGAGTCGATGATATAAAATGATAACTGAATCCACTTCTCTTCTCACCTTTATTTAAATTAATTAATCTCAACAATTATTTACCTGATGGAATTATAATTAGTCTGATGTTCTATTATAAATTTGACAATATTTTCAATTTAACTCATTCAGCTGTCAAGTTTTCTTATCACTGATAAAGATATTTTTCCATTTAATAACATACAAAATTAGATGAATGTTAAAGTGATAAGTGATAAATGATAAAACGAAAGAATCGTAACTTTAATTTATTGAAATTTATTGAAGTTGGAGAAAAAATTTTAATGTTATATTTGAAGTATGAAATTCTCAATAATTTGAAATATAATAATTGAAAACTGAAATGAATTTTATTACTGAAATATTCTAATTTAATATTAATTGTAAAGTAATCTTTGTGGACAACGATAAAACCAATTAAAGTTTTTCATTACCAAAACTATTTCAGAAAATTAAAATTCAGGTTTACTGAATCGATTATGCGTACGTTATTTCTATTAAGTAACAATCGTTTAAATAATGTTATGAAAAGAAAAGATTGAGAGAAATGAAGAGAGTAAGTGATTGGTGGGATGGCGAAAGAATGTATTAACGCATACAATCAATATCAAAATCATAGAATGGCTTAAAGGTCAGGCACTTCCTTTGTCATTTAAAGATTTCAATTTAATTTTGAATTTAGATCTCTAACTGCCTCTCACTTATTAATTTTACCTCTTCTATTCTATTTCATTATGCTATTTTATGTCATAGGAAGTAAATATTTATGAGTCGTATTTAATCGATACTTTGAAGTTCGAATAATTGCGACAGTTGTGATGTGACAAGTATGATGGCGGTTGTGTCATCTTAGGTGTGTGTGTGTAGGTGATGAAAAGGTCGTTTCAATCAGAGACATAGAAATGGAGAAAGTAAGTGATGAATTATTCTTGCATTTATACTATTTCAGAGATATTTGTGCAAGAAATGCAGTGATGTTATTTTATTTATCCAAACAGAGCTACCACGATTGGATGCTTTTGGTGAGATGATGTGTTTGTTGATTGTTTGTTATGAAATCATTTGCTTTCGTTTAACGTAGCATTTAGATTATTGCTATTTATCACCTTTTCTCCACTTTTTGTTTCCAAATCTCTTTCGTTTAAACGAAACTTACCTGTTTATTTTTTTTCCAGTTTACCTGTTTATATATTTTTTTTTTCAATTTACCTCTTTATATATTTTTTTTCAATTTACCTGTTTATATATATTTTTTTGTTTGTTATATTTTTTGTGTCTGAAATTATCATAGTTTCAGATCAGCGTTAAACTTAAAGGAAAGAATTTATTTGAAAGAAAATGTCAATATTAGAAAAGATACGTAAAGCACGAGAAGATTTGAAAGCAGTTGAAATTACGCAAGTTTCTCGCTTTTTTTCATTGTTCCACAATAGTAGCTTAAATTGTGCACTTTTTAGCTAGTTTCATTAATGATCGTGAAAATGATTTGGTCATAGTAATATATGTATACATTAATCTTCAAATAAATCGAATACATCAAACTATTTAACCATCAAATCAGTCTATTTCAAATTATTCCGACCACCTGTTGATTTGATTGTTAGTGGTTATATGGAGTAAGGTCAGAAGGTCCACATTGAATATTACATTTTGCGTTTAGTTCTTAGTGTTTTTTTAAGTGATTTTATTGCACTCAGTTTACGGGCAATTTTTTATACGTTATTTTTGCATTTGTAGAGTAACAACGGAAGATGGTATAGTAGCGAAAGAAAAACGTTCAAGTAAGGGCGATTTTGTGTATATAGATGAAGATGATGAAGGTCAATCTGGAGGTGATGATAGTGAAAAAGAGGTGCAAGAACTTGAAATTACTTTAAATAAGGACAGTAATTTGAATGATTCACAAACAGCACCTTCTCCGAGTCATGTTTCGTTGTCGAATCGACAGATAAAGAAACGATTATATCGACAGGCATTGGGTTTTGTGCTCGATTTAAAACCTGATCTGCAAATGGCTAATGTAGCAAAAGGAATATTTCTAGGTAAGTACAATATTAGAAGTATTCTTTCTTGTAATTTTCATCTGGGTTGGTAGAGTTTAACATCAATGTTTATTATTATTTGAAAGATGCTGCCTAGTCATTATTACAATCATTACTGGCGTAGTTTTACTTAGTCTCGTATGACTTTCTGACGATTCTGGGACCTTGCTTGTTCCAGTTTGTCACAATTTTCTTTTATCTGAGAAAATTGTAACGAATTCTTCGAACGGCTAATAACGGAAATAAGTTAATAAAGACAGAAACAGGAATAATACAGGATATTATTTCAATTCATAGGGCTTGTGTGTAGGTACTGGGCATTTTACGGAAAACTTTCATTGCAAGTTAAAAAAAATTCAGTGAGATATTTTTTCTTTCCCTTTATATTACTACTGTTGTTGTTGTTCGTTTTCATTCACTGCTTAATTTTCAATGTAACCTTGCATGTCGTTGCAGTTTTTGCAGATAAATTAATTGTATTATTGTAGGAAGTCAGGATGTAGCACACGATTATGATATTCTCATGGCTCATAAAGTCACACATATAATCAATTGCGCGACCGGTGTGGAGAACATATTTTTGGGTGTAATTAAATATCTTACATTCGATGTATTGGATTTACCGTGGACCAATATAGAGCAGCATTTTGATAAATGCCATGAGTTCATGAAGGAAGCAGTAGAAGGTGGTGGAAATGTGAGTTTGCTGAAGATGTGGATTTTTGTAACTGAAAGTGGTTTTTAATTATGCTGGAATCGCGATTTGGCAGCAAGTTATTGGCTTCATTCACATCATGAGGTTTTCCAGGTTCTTGTACATTGTAATGCTGGTATATCGCGTTCGCCTACTATTGTTCTCTCATACATAATGCGCTATAACAAAATGACATTACGAGAAGCTCTGGAACATGTTAATGCAATTAGAAAAGGTAATCTAATCTCACCTTTCACACAATTTAAATGATAGAAGTAGGTATTGAGCTAAAAAGATATTTGAGACTTGAAATCGTTTGTTTGGTATATTCTAGTAATATGCAGGATAAAACGATCGTTTCGTTCAGTGAATTTTATATATTTTGAAATATATGAAATATATGAAAATATTTTTATAATGGATATGTAGAGGAAATTTATTCGTTCCGTTTCAAAATTATCTTTTTTGTCAGAACGTAGGAAAATAAATTTTGATTTCAAAAGTCCTAGCTTTTGAAATCAAAGTTCATTTTCATCGACCATCTGACAAAAAATTTCTAAATATACAATTTTTTTTTTGGATTGAAAAGATACGGAAATAAAACTCGATTTCCAGATCGTTCACGCAGTTAATGGTGTGTGAACGATTTCGAAATTGAATTTATATATATTTTTGAACTTAAAAAGGGAACCCAATTTCAATACATATAATTAATGGCAATTAACTATATGTATTAATATAAATATTTTGGACTGAAAAGATATGCAAAGAAACTCATTTCCAAATGTTCACGTAGTTAATATTAAACTTTTTCATTTTCAGTCAATCCAAATCCGGGTTTCATGCAGCAATTGCTGCGATATGAAATAAAATTACAGAGCGAGAATGCGCCAATAAATAATTACGATATTTGAGAAAATATAGATAACCACATTATTTGGAAAAATGCTTTTTAAATTATTAGGATTGATCAAAATATAGTTCGGGTATTAATTTGCTGAGATAAATTTTTTGTTCGTGAATGTGTGAAAAAACATTTTGTGGATAACATTGTGCAATTATTTTGTTGTTTTAGACGACAAATATGAAGTGATACATACTTTGGTATTTTGTATGGAATAATTTGCTATCTATTGGCTTGATCTGACAATGCAATTTTTGATGAAGTTGGTAGATTTATGTCAATAGTAGGATTTCGAGAAACATTGACATATTTCTGAGAGAGTAAGATTAAGTGGAATGTTTTCATTGGACAAAAAGAGCTAATTATTGCTAATTGGAGAAAAATTAAAATATAAATTATGAGGTTATAAATACCAACTTGACCTATCAGTATCATTTAGGATTTCAGTACAATTTACGTGAATGATTTTGCTGAAAAAAGTTTGCAGTTTAGCAGTTTAGTCCCACAGATAATCCTTTAGTAGTTTAGTAAACATCTGTGATGTAATGTTGCAGTAAGTAGTAATAATAATAATTTCGATATTTCATACATAATTCCAGGTATGATATTAAATATTAGAGCAACTCGATTTTATTAGCCATGAGAAATTTTATGAGTAAGCTTCCATCCATTCTCATCATCGATATATGTTCTTTTTTTAGAACTAAATGATGGTTAGACTGTTTCCATTTTATTTTGAAACGGTGTAAAAATACACATGATATATGGTGACCTATGTAAATATGTAAATGTAAATGTAGTTCATCCTACGAGCAATAATGTAAATTTAAAATTTTGTTTGATTTTGTAAATAAAATTAGAGTTTTGTTTTTCCCGATGGTAGTTGCGGAATAAAAAATAACCTTAACGATTTAGACGTGAAGCTTAAGGTATAATAGCTTGTTTGGTCGTCCGCAGATCGAAACGACTATTTCTTTGTGCAATCTATCACTAGAAATCAATTCAGTGGTGTTCAGAAGTTCAATTTCGAATATTTGAAATTTGAAAAAGCATTTCCCTTTGTGCTACTGATTCAAAAATATTTCAAATACGAATATAGTGTAGAAAAAGAAAGAAAATTAGCTGCAATTAAAGTGATGAGTGTTTGTAGAGAGCGTTGAAAACAACTAATTAAAGAAGAAAGACAAGAGAAGGAAAAGGTTACATATTGGGAAGTCAATTTAAAAAGAGTAGTATTTTGGAGTTGAAGTGAAATGAAGAAGTCGGTACCGAATGATTTATCACTATTCCTGCTTCTTCTACGTGTTAGGTTGATATTCACATATTCTATTGAAATATTACCGCTGCAATTTGTATCTTCTCTTTTTGTTATTGTATAAAATTATCACACACCAACTAATTTCCCTAGTTTTTCTGCAATCATTTACTAGAAATAATGACAAATTTTTAAATCAGAATTTCACATAAACGTTTTTACCAATTAGGCTCTATTTATTTGAATTATCTTTTGTTGTTTTTATATTATGCTTATTTAGTTAGTTTTGATCAGCATTTTGAAAAGATGCAGAGTTTTTGAATATCAAGCATCCCAAAGATCATGAAACAGTCATGCAGTAGACAATACAAAAGGCTCCTGGACAGCGATTATGAAAATTTGTCCATAAAAAGCATCCATCTGCTGACTGTATTTCACCGATCATTTTCCATTTTTCCACATTTGAACAACTGAACATTCAACATCAATGCTTTCCACCGACAGAAATTTGATAATTGGATAGAATGGCATAATGATCGAATGACAATTAAAAATATTAAATTATCCGAATTTGGCAACTTTCTTATATCGTCTACATGGTAAATCAATAGCTCTTATGTTGGAAAAAAATGATAACTTCACTTCTTATGTTTTTCATTTGAAACAATTCAAAATTTTATTGTCTATTTAAGGAGATAGAGTGGAAGGAGGCGATGTAATTGTATTTAAAGCTATCGAAGTATCATAAGGTTACTAAATGATATATATCGTGTCAAAATGATACTATCAGGGATCATTCCGGAGAAGTGTATAATTTCATGCTTATTTACGAAAAATTTACTTTTTTTCTTGTATTGCCTTTTTATAACAAATGCAAGAAACCATGAAATAGTACTTTATAAATTAAATGTAAGGAGTATTTTAAATATAAATTCTATTCCTTCTTGTGAAAACCAATACCACAAGCAGATCGATTCAAACAACCAAAACCTATAATGTTGAAGCTCATCAAAATTTTAAAATAAAACAATTTGAAAAGTTGTTTTAGACCGTTAAATGATATGATTAATTAAACAATATAATTAATTAGATCCAGCTGATGCTTGATTAATTGCTGCATAGCATATATGAAATACATCATCACCTGGAATAAATCGTTTTCTTGAATACATGGGTGATCCATATTTTTGCATACCATAACCAGCGAATGAGTTACCATTATTTGTAAAACCAAATGGTGGTGCATAAGGATTCATCGAATATGGATTACCAAACAAATTCATTCCCATATTGGACATTAGCATTGGATCATTACCTAATGCCATGCCAAAGCCGCCAAATGGGCCCAAATATGCTACAAAATATTTGGCTTAGTTATAATAGTATTGCAATATTTATCAACAACGAAACATTAATACCCTCAGGCTATTTTTTATTTGATAAGTAATTCAACAAATATCAGTAATTAGTCTTACAATTATGCATCGTTCGCGCAAAAAAATTGCTAACTTACGATTCATTAAGCCAGGCGTTGGAAACGTACCAAATGCACCATATGGTGCAATAAATTGTGCTGTTGATAATTTTGAAATTGTAAACATTAACAAAATTGATAATATGTATGGGAACATTGTAAGATTACTGAAATTATACGACGATCAATCGATACATCAATGGCGTAATTTTGCGATCACAGATATTTGGATCGTAAAAAAAAATGTATAAAATATGGAATAAAATGTGCTACAATTTTTAATTATACCGATATAATTTATAAAGAGAAATTTATCGGAAGTCTACTGAGATTAGTATAAATTTCTTTTTCTGTGTCATCACAGGTGAACAAATCATGTCAGTCATTATTCTGCTTCGATTTATCGGATTTGAATTTAAAAAATGAGAAAGAGTATGTGGGATCAGTTGAGGATTGAGTGATTTATTTGAGGGGAATAATGTGTAAGATTAGTTGAAGACTGACGTAGTTCATCTAAGAGGAAGATATAACCCGTGACAGTGTTATCTTCACCCTTCCTCGAATTATCAAAATGTATGAATGGCTTAAGTAAGGTAAATAAATAATAGAGATGGTGATCATTTCGGATGGCAACTTATAAAGTGCTCTCGATGAATGTGTGTCAAGCATCTCCAATGACCACCACTGCACGATTTTGTAATTCATGACATTTTACAATTTTAAGATCTCAAAAAATTGAAATACATTTTGATATATTGTATAGTTTCAAACATTACATTATTTCAAAAATTCCTGAATTTCAAACAAATTGAAACACTTTGCTAAACTGAAATGTATATTGATGAAAAGGATTAGCAAGGATCCAACATTTCATGGAAGCTCTTATCAGCGTTGTGATATCATGTTCATATCATTGATGTGCTATTAACGGCTCGGCTACATATACGTTCCTCAATTAATCATAATCATTAACGAGTCATTCACCATTTCAAACATTCCCTATCTGGCCAATGTTCGTGTTGCGACATGAAAATCCGCCGATTCAAAATTTGAGGCGGCAGCATTTTAGCAGGGTACGTTTGCTTATGTTATTTCTCTCCTCAGGTGTTCGCTGGGATGTTGCAGAAATTGATCTTTGATTGCAATCAATCAGTAATGAACAATGAAGGTGGCCCATTTTCCAAGATTTGAGGGAACAAGCGAACCATATCTGACTGTTAGATTAAGGTTTTTCTCGATGATCACTAGACTTTTCGAAAAATCTTCCGATTTTTCGATATTGAAGATGAGATTTGCTTGCGGTATGAAATGTTTGATGCTTGAATACGCATTTTGAATAATTTGTAGAGGTCATAGAAAGTTCAAGTCCTTTGAGAGGTTTCAAAAACCTCTGGTTTATTCCAGAATTACGAAGACTTCCAAGTATTTCAAAGTTGAATTTAAAAGTTTAAACAGGAATAAAAAGATTACGGGATTTTTATGGAATTTGATAAGCAATCAAAGCAGCAACAGGAACAACAGCAATCGGAGAAAGAAGGATTTGAGTATATCGATATATTGTTGGAAAATTTGGAACAATGTAAACTCTTCGCTAACGAAAAGAATTCCTCCATACATTTGCATGTTTTATTTTATACTATATTAAATAATAAATATTTGAAATTTTTTAGAAAATTTTAAGCTTTTGAAATGACTTAGGGAATAAATTCCAAAAAATTAGTGAAAGATAATTTCGACAGGTATATTAGTTAATGCATAGTATTTGTTTGCTTTAGAATTGTTACATATCATTAATATTTTGGTTGTTTTATATAGCTGCCAGCTGTAAACATTATGTATCTTCTGTGCATTAATATGAAGTGGCATAAATCCTTATAGTTATGAAAATGCACTTGCATAAACCACTGTAGACGTAGAAGTGATCCCACTGTAAATCCATACAGTTATGGAAGTATACCCATGCCACTTCATCTTAATTCATTACCTTCTCAATATTCGTTCTACAAATTATATCTGAAGAAAAAGTTTTCTTAGAAAAAAAATTGTCGAGCTTACATTTTCAAATTATTAGGTTGTTTTTAATTTCAGCTCTTTAAACGATGTATATATGCTTTATAAAGTGGTTGCGGAAGAATTCAGCGATAAGTTACACCAGAGTATATTAAATGGTGATAATGTCGAACATTTAACTCATTTTCCGGATTTATTGGAAGTCTATTGCACTGCTGACCGGAACTCACCATCAAATGTAATATCGGATGGTTAGTCAATTTGTTAAATTTTGGTAGTAACTTTCTTATAGTTTTGGAAAGAAAGAGATCATTTTTCCATCTGGATGCACCATTACCTTCAAATTATAATTGGATCATGTGATAAAAAATGTAATCGACCTCTATGTTATAAACAACAGAATTCTCAATTCTTTTGAAATGCTAGTAAATTCTTTATTTTTTTATATTTTTACATTCCTTCAGAGATATTTTTTCTTAACTTAAAATTTTAGAACAAATAATATGGACAATAGGAGAATTTATCTCAGTCCTCTCATCACCGATCGTTTACAGAAAGTTTGGTGGTCTCTATCAAGATTGCATTATTGAACTCACTAAACTCCTGCGACCATCTAATATGCTTTTCGTGCAGAAACAAATTGTTTTAATTTTGAAGGGTAGGGTATAAACTTTCTCTCATTAAAATTTTGAAAGTTGAGAATGACTTATTTTTTCCTAATGTTGTTTGTTATCACATTTATCACGTTCTTAATTTTGAGGTGCGAATTTTCGGAGGGCATCGAATGTCGTTTTAGTTTGCTCAAAGAAATTATAGGGAATCTGTTATATCTTAGTGTGCTTCAACATTTCTGATTTGTTTTTGATATCTCACCTTTGTTATATCTAATAAAAAATTCAGGCATTGTGGATAAAAAAAACGTTTTGGTATTCAATGTTAACGATGACAAAGAGCAAATAATATTCACCACCCCAATGGGTGATATCGTTTTAGCTTCAGTAACGTTTGCTGTCAATTACTTGTGGGACAGTGATTCGATTATTCAGGATGTTCTACTGTTAAGTTTTTTTGAGGTTTTTATCTTAAAAATCTTCAAATTTACAAAGACCAATCCAAGTTAATTATATTATACGAATTAATAAGCTTCAAATTTAACTCATTGAAATATCTTCATTTATCATTTCAACATACTCTTATTTTCAAGTAACTATTCATTTCAGTGCATTTTAAATTGTAACTCTCTGCATATAATTTTTTAATGCTAAACAATTGCTTTGGTTTACTATAATGCTATTCAAGTTAGTAGTGATACTTCAATTTACTGCATAATTATTAATTATATCTAGAAAAAATTTTCAGATCCATTTTACAACACGGAACGATGAACGAATCAGTTATGCAGAATGAAGACGTTTTAATATATCTGTGGTTTTGTTTGTTACACGTCATTCCTTCAGGTGTATCGCGAGTAAAAAATGTAATTATTTTTGGCATACATAATGAAATTGTAAAACTTATATTTTCAAGATCAACAGATCTAAATCAAATTTTATCTTCCTGGCAAAACGAATTGTGCATTAGTACTCTTTTATCATTTGCCCAGTTCGCTACTATTCTAGAAAATGCAGCAGGAAGGTACTAAAATATATATAACGGTGCTTCGGTACTTCCGGTCTCGTATATATATAGTCACTATACAAACAGTTTGTAATTTACTAATTCGTTTATTTTCTTGCCATGCAAATTCACTGTTATTATATCATTTTTATTGTACTTTTTACAGAAGGCAATATTACTGGCGCAGCGATTGGTTTCAATGGATGCGTGTAATGCAGTATTTGCGGATTTGTTGTATGATGATTTAATGGCAGTAGAACGATGGCTTTACGATTTGGCATCTGAAGTAGTTGGTGATGAAGAATTACGCTTGAAAGAAGCGTTGGAAACTTGCGAACGTACTTTTGGTGATGTTCTCCGGAAGTAAGCTTGATTATGAGATTTGAAAGTTCTAAAGCCTTCAGTTTTCTTCCAATTTTTCAAAAAGGATTTTTAAGCAGGATTTATCCTATTCCTTCGTAGTTTTAAATTTTTAATTACTATTCAAACTTCTTAAACCTTCATGCTTAAGAAGTTTGAGTAGTGATTAAAAATTTAAATAGAAGGTTTGAAAGCAAGGTTTGGAATCTAGTTTTAAGTACCTTATAGTCCATGCAAACTATGTTTTCTGGCCACAATAGCAGAAAATTTGTTATCATCTCATCTATAGAACATCAATAGAACTGTTGCGCAAAACATATACATAAATTGAATCGGAGGATTTGTTGAAATTCAGTTAGTTAAGCGTTTTTTTAGTATTGATGGATATGAAACCTTCAATAAAATTGATTTTTATCAATGTCTGAAATGGACAAAACAAGTTGCGGAGATATGTTCCTCACGTATAAGACCAGGTACGTTTTCTAAACTAAAATTTTTAATGTTAGCATTCTTATGGTTTTTTTCAATTGTCATACTTCTTGATTTTTAGGATTAAGCTTCTTGTATTTTTTAAAAAGGTTTTTTTATAATTTTCAATAAAAATTATTTAATTTGGAAAATGGACCGTGTAAGGTGATAAGACATATATCCCTCTAAGTTTGAGGTAAGCTTAGATTGAAGTTTCTCTTTCTCTTCATTACTTGTTAAACCGTTGGCTTTGTCTTCCTATCAAGGAATATTGAGGAAAGTCTCTTTCACATACAGATCAACAGATAGCTAGTAAGCAAAGAAGCAATGAAACTTACACCTATAGTGATAATCATTCAGGTAGAATAGCTCTTAGAAATTGAGTAAATAAGATTTGTTCAATTTAATTGTAATTTTTAATTTCTGCAACGTATGTTTTTCTTAACTCGTATCAAATGCTTAGGCAAAGGGTTTGGTACTCCAATCTATATATGTATAAATCGTTGTTTAACTGAAATAAGGGAAAGCAAAGGAAAAAATCGAAGAGAAAGAAATAAAGAAAAAATAACGCAAGTGATCAAAAGATAAATGACTATTGTTTTTAGAAATATTAACTGTATGGTATTAAGTCCAGAGTGAAGTTTTTTATTGCATAAAGCACAAAAGACTGACAGACTTACAGATCAACGAGGTTATTTCTCTTATCCACCTCTCTCTAATTTTTAATTGCAGATGAGCGTTTGATTAATATGTTAATCGATTTATGCTCTGTAAATTTGAGAGTTGAAAAGAGTTTTCGAAAAGAATGTCGTATTCTATCCAATTATTTGTATGCTGTAGTGAGGAAAATTTTTCAATGTGAATTACAAATAAAAGCCGAAAATATCGGTGAATTATTCGAGTTCGTTTTCGTGGTACTGGAAGATAATGATATCAATTCATCGTAAGTACTAGCTTTATATTAGCTATTTTTATCGCTAAATATTAGCAGTAATGCTTTTAAAACTTACAGAGATTTTTTTGTGAGTCTTTAAAATGATGAAACGCTGCGGTGCATCTTCTAAATTTTTAGTATTACTATCAGATTTTTTTCAAGGTTTTTTTATTTTTTGAAAAAGTTTTTTTTTGCAGGCTGTTACTGAATGAACTTACTGAACAATTAACATTTGCTCGACAACGTTATGCTGAAAATGAAGTATGCAAGTGTACCTTTATGTTTTTCTCAAGAACTCAATAAATTTTTATTTTCAATTTGAAAGTATAAAAAAAATTTTAGCTGGTGAAATATTTGCGAATGAGAGAAATGATGATAGTAGCACTGAAACAAACATTGGAAAAAGATAAAGGCAATGTTTTTATTGCCAAAATTATTCCTGAAACAGCAGAAGTGATAGAGGTAAATTTTAAATTCAATTTTAATGCTTACTTCATGGTTATGGAATGATGTTTATATAATTTATCGTTACTCCCTCGTTGTAACTTATCATTAAATTATTTCCATGTCAGAGTTTAATTCTTTTCTAGTTCAGTGAATTTCGTATTTGTAGAAATGAGTTTGCTTAAGTTTAGGAGAAGCACTCTTACATTTATGCATTTAGTTTACGTGTAGACTGATTTTCCATGAACCTGATTTTCCATCTTTGAAAAAAGAAATAAGGAAGAAGGCGTTTCAGTAAAACTAAGATCGAATTTTGGTATGAATTACTTACATAAAGTTCGAATAGGATCGTGTTTTACTCACCTTTCTTTCTGTTATTAATGAATGAATCTTAATTATAAGTGATTCGATAAATTAAATGATATATCATGTAGTGTTTATATATTTTATTTGGAAATCTTAGCTTACAGCTTATTAGCTTTATCAACTGTGATCAAATTTGTGATTTCTTTAATTTTATTCAGATCATTGAAAATATTTCAAAGATGCCAGATATTGGTAGAGAGGCTTTAGCTGGATTAATTTCACTCATCTCATCGTTCACTGAACGTGTCGAAACGAGAGTAGACTTTTGGCTTGCTGTTATGTCGTTGCCGTGGCTCCAAACAGCGGTAATACTTTTGTTTTGTTTGGTGTAAACAACTGTAGTCTCATAATATTAAAATTTTATGCAGGTTGAGGTATTTCTAATTATAATAAATATTTCACCTCGTTTGTGCCATAGTATTGAGAATATCCTGTAATGTAAATTATTGTAATTCTCTTCTATATAGTGCTTATTAATGTATCTTAATTGTACGACTAAAATCTGTAGCTTCCAGGAATTGGTCACTGATCTGGAACGTTTTGATATAGCATTACCAGCGTTGTCGCAAATTCACAAATTATCGTTACGTTGCGGTCATTATCTATGTAAGTTTTTTCTTTTGCGCCAGAAATAGTTTTGAGTGCTAAGTAACAGGTTAAATAAGTCTTCAGTTTCTGAATCTTTTCGAAATTTAAGCTTCCTGATTCAAAATCGCAGTAGAATTTAAATTTCAGCACTCGACATCAAAGCGAGTACGATTCCTGCATTGGGGCATTTGAATGTTTGTGCGGAATGGCGTCGCAAAGTATACATCGCAGCTTTAACATCAGCGGAAATATCATTACTGAGAACAGCTGTGGAACATTTTCCTTCTTTCATTTTCTCAACAGGTCTCCTTTTAAAGTAATATTCTTTATTTTTAAAATTCAAAAAAACAGAAGATTTTGTCTATAATAGGCAAATGACTATTTACCTCACTTAACATTGAACGATGATTATGGCTGCTTATATATTGCATTAAAAGGCTGATATTTGTGGAATCATCTCACTGTTTTTTTGATATGATGATTTGTTTGGTTTTTAATCCGTTGGTTAGCTTTTTCCTCAGTGGCAAATTAAAACAAATTAATAGAACTTCTATATTTTTTCCTTTTATGCGCATTTGTGACCCTGCAGACAGGAATGAATTCGATTTTCTTCTAAACCATGTGCTTTATCACGGAATGCATGCACTTCAAAATGATGATAAAACTGAATTGTGTCCCGCTGTTTTAAAAGTAAAGTGATTTTATGAACTTCATTGTTAGTAACTATTATTTATAATAGGAGAGGAGGAGGTGAACATAAGTAAATTCTGTGATTCTTTTTAGGAGTCCCATGCACAGGGCTCATCAGTGATGTGGGCTTGCCTTGTTGAATGATCATATATACTGCTTCAATGAACTATCTTTGTAACTAATTAACTTAGTGACCCAAGTTAGTTACATGGGTAGTTCTACTATTATATCAGCTTAAAGTGTATTATTTTAGGCAGTGACAAGAACATTATGTTTTGTTAGTATGGATAAGCGACTATCCGATGATGAAGTGTGTATGATGTGTCGACGAAAAGAAACTGCTAATCGTAATTTGGAAATTAATTTGGATAAAATTTTTGAACTTGTAAAAAAGGCTATACATGGTACTAATGCAGCAAAATTAGGTTGCTGTGAGCTGTTGACCTCCTTGTTAAACCATGTATCCTTCTCAGTATTGAAAAGATATGAAGCAGAAATGCTTTGCACATTAACTTTGATGAAAGAAACTGACGAAGATTTGCGATCCGAATTTCAGTACGTTCTTTTTAAATCTTAATCGTCTTAGATTACATAAAAATCTTCGAGTTTTCGGTAATTGGATAAAATATTCAGAAAACAAAGCATAATTATGTGGCGTTTTAAAAAAATTGCCAATTAGAGGCTTTAAGCAACATCCGAATAATGGTATTTCTACAAAGGATTTATTTTCGAAAATATGGGAAGGAGAAAATAAATCAAGTAGGGATAATTACGTGGCACGTTGTTGCAGTCGAGCAGCCGCACTGGACTAAATGATCGAAAAATCATTGGGTCGGGAATCAAACAGAATAATTTAAAGTCTATAATTGTAAAATTTGACTAGCTGTTACATGACTATCTCGCGTACGAGATTATGTCATTTCTGAGTAGCATACTACATTATGTCATCGGAATCCCTGATGAAATATCTGGTTTTATTAGTCGTAAGCCGTTTTGAAATTGAAGAAAGTGGATGCATTTGTGTAATTCTGTAGTTATGAAAATTTTTACGTTATCGACTTTTTTATTTAATTTTTTTAGCGAAATAATTTAGCATAAAAGCATTTTAGATGGTGCTTAAAGCCGATAATGGAACTGAAGCTTGAAAATGTACAGAATGAAGTGTTGCTAATTATTGGCGATCTGCAAAAATTACCGAAAGCATTCGACAGTTTTAAACTACACGCAATATCCTGTTTGGTGTAAGTAATATAAAGTAATTGAGAAAATTTTTAATTAGCTAGGTTGACTGCTCTTAACTGCTGAGAAGTTTACAAACTTTCTCGTACTTTATGTTTTGATTTACGTATCGTGCATCTGCTCAATATCAACGCGCTATTTCCACTACTTCAACCTTTTTCGGTTGTAGAAGCCTCAAAAAATATTAAAAAATTGAGAGAAGGAAAGAGCAGTAGGAAACGGATCGAGTGAAAGAGGACGAAGAGAGTAGGTTTGTGGGTGTATTATAATTGGTTTATCATAAATGTTCATGATGTGTTTTTGTTGATGTTGGACCTGTTTTTAAAAGGATATTTTTCAGTAATTCGCGAAATGATAATCTTTTTCTGATGTGCTTAAATCAACTTCTGAATATAGCAATTGTATCTGAATATGCATTTGTTGTCGCTGAAATCAAGCATGCTATTGAGGTTAACTGATTAACATTTTATTTCACTGTTTTCTTTATACTTGATTTTGAGATGTATATTCTTTCTCGTAATAACAAAGTTTTAAGAATTAGCAGTGTCTCGAACGTGTTCCATTAAAAGTTAGATTACAGGATCGTATGGAAAAATATGCCCCTAATTTACACCCTCGACAATGGTTTCTTCGGAAGAAGAAATACATAATGGGAAGTCTTACCAAACGAATAATCTTTGAATATTCTGAAGGGACAAGATCTCTGAAACGAAGTAAGAATTATCGATTTTATTTTGATCACTAAAAATATCATTACTAAAAAATGAATCATGTAAATATGTATTAGCATCTTTATTAATATGTGAATTAAATTTTTCAAATCGTATTTTTGAATACGTGATTTTCTAGGTTAGTTTCCTAATCATGTTTTCTTGCATCGCCTAATCCGCTTATAATTCATTTGAATTGCTCAACAAAAATTTTTAATGATTTTAATTTTAGGTAGTTTTTCGCAGTTTGTCGATGAAAGGCTTAGAAGAACTATCGAGTATGCTTTAAATGTAGTTCTTGAGATATTTGATTTCTCGAGAGATGATATTGAAAGGTAGGCTACTATCATTATGTCCCGACGAGATGTAATGGTTGTAATTTTGTCTTTATTTTTAACGCATTCGTCTGTCTTATTCTTAGTGCTGTACAACAAATCGAACTAAGTGACTCTGTCGTCTGCCGAACCGCTTGATCCGAATACCCATTGTAGTAACAGCAGCTGAAATATGTCGAAATAAGCTGTGGAGATTACTCTGGAATTGCTGAACACATTAAGGAAATACCATAAGATAGTAAGATTGGTCTTTCCAGGCAATCTGTGTCTGGAAAAGATTTTGATTAGGGAAGACAAATTGATGAAAATTCGCAAATTTTGAAATATAGTATCAAATTTAAAACAGATATCTCCTCATTTCTTATCTCTTATAGTTTTATGCGGGAAGCTTGTCCTGAAATTGTTACTTCTCTTCTGCTGGATTGCATGGCAGAAAAGCAAAAAGTGCAAATAGCGTTGGATACTATCGCACGACTGCGACAAATAGAACCAGAAATACTGATGGAAGAATCTTTGCCATTATTATTAATCAAACATCTTTTAAATGATTTGTCAACTCAAGTTATGCAGAATGCTCTGAATTTTATTAGCGTTTATACAAAAGGAGGTTGTAATTGGGTTTGTATTGATGAATATATTATTTACTTTTCCTTAATCATTTTATCTAATTAAGTTCCCTGTCGCAAAAGTGGCATCACATAGTCGGAGAAAGATCGATTAAAAGTGTTAGCTTACGAAAGAGTAGATGTATGGACTCCTAAATAAACTTTGCGGCTTATAAAATAGGTCAGGATGAAGTCTTTGTGAATTAAAATTGCTTGATGGCGGATAAACTGAGGTGAGTAATTAGGAAGTCAATATAACAAATAACGGAATAGTTGCTGCTATGTGTATGTTTGTATTTTTGTGCTGCGATTTCAACATTCATAATATAGTGAACATAGCTTCTTTTTCTGAATGAGTTGTAGTGATGGGATTATCATAAATTTATTCCTTCATTTTAACCCTATCAGGCAAGACTCTTATTTCATTTAAAGATATTTTCATTTTAAACTTTGATTTTCCTGAGAATTTTTTCAACATTAATTCCACTTTTTTTCAGTCAACATTAGTTTCAAAGAAAGCTTATGAATGCACTGTTTGTTTGTTACAACATTTATCTGTTGATGAAGAGAAAGCAATGATGCATATCAAGAATTTGCATAAATTAACCTATGGCCGAAATTATCCATTCAGTTTTACCAGCTTCATCAGCGAAAGGTTTCGTTTCATAGCTTTTATTTTCTTTTTCCGAAAACTCATCGTTAGTAGCTGTTTTCGTTAATATTTCATGGTTACAATGAAGAATTGATCTCTTCTCGATATCGATGTCTTAATTTTCATCCACTGAACTTTATATAAAGATGGATAAGATCTGAAAAAAAGATGATTAACGAGAAAAAATATGTTTGAGCTGAGTAGTCTATCTTTGATAACTCATTGGATATCATTTTAAAAAATAATTATGATATCGGTAAGTTTCAATTTGCATTTTGCAGTTATTTGGGAATTTTGCTACATTTCCGACAAGCTGTCAATGATGATCGTTTTTATGATGATCGGCTGGTACTAGTATCAAGTCTCTGTAAAGTGATGGCAATGATCAAAATAGATGGCACCGATTTCCTTGATAAAGTTAGTTTTTAAATATTCACAAATGAGCAATCGTTTAAATAAATTGAAAAAGAAAGAAACAACTTTTGAGTGGAATCAGAATTTAAAGTAAATATGAATTTATGAATCAGATGTAGAATCAGTTTCAAAAAAAGCAAAATTTAGAGGCACTGCGAAATTTCTTGGATTTTTGTTAAATATAAAGCGATAATTCATATTTCAATTTTCAGACAGCTGATAAAATGCTAATTGTTTTGCGTGCTTTTACACCGTTAGGCATTGTTGTGATTGAATTGTGGAAAGTTTATTTGAAAACTTTATCAGACGAGGTCATTTTTATAAATCATTTCATATATGATAAGTTGAACGGAAATAAATGAATTAGGATGGCTAGCTTAGTGTCGAACACTTGACATCTTTTAAACTTTCGTAGACCAATCTAGATTGGTTTCGTAGACCAATCTGTAAAGGTGTTTTTGATGTCAGGAGTATTTGATATCTTTAGTAGTGTAATTAGCTCGAGTATTGTTTCTAATTCGATTAAATTTCCTCTAAATAACACCATGATTTCATTCGAATTTGAATTTTAGGTTTTGGTGAAACTTTTGCCGCAAACTTTGGTTTCAATCATTCCGTTGTTGCGGTACGAGCAGGCTCGGGAGTTATTAAAATATATTTTCGAAGAAAGACAATTGCACTTTGCAGCGAAGTAAATTTTGGTTAATTTAGATTTTAAATTATTTATTTACGAGCATTTGAATTTTCTGTTACCATTTATTATGGCGTTGTTGTTACTACTGGTCTTTTCACTTCTGAATGATATTTAATTTTTCAGTGGAGATTTCGAACGCATCGCTGTGGTTTTTTGGAACAATCCGAAGATTTCAATCAACGAATACCTATCTCCAGAACTTGCGAAGTCTCCGCCGGAATTGGTTTAGTTTTTGTTTGATTTGTAGGGAGTGGTAACCGACAGAAACATTTACAAATGAACAAAGAACTAGAATTGCTATAGTTTTCAGCTAGGAACAAGGATTCTTGAATAATCGTTTCCCTGAAACAATTATATCGATAGAGCTGTATTTATTTCTCTAATCGCCAAGTTGATTGATTTTCATAAATGAAAAGTAGTACCGAAATTGTCATTTCATGTCCACTTAAACAACAGAGTTCTACGTCTCATCTGCTCGAGGTAGTCTTTATTTTCCAAAAAAAATTTTCAATTTTTTTCAGGTTTTCCATGCATGCGCTTATTTATTAAAGGAAAGTTACGAAGAAGTCGGTGAAGTGATATTGCATAAATTATTAAGTATGCTAAATGAATGCAGTGATTTGACAGATAGCTGTTTTGATAGCATTGCTGCAGAATTGGTTTGTTATTTTATCATCTACTCTTTTCTAATAATTCCTGAGTGTTCATAGCTTCAGATGCTGTGAATAACGATATTACAGTTTAGCGTAATTTCGGACATCGTACTTTCAAGGAAGTCTCACGTAAGTAAGGCTGATGTTTCTTTAATTTAACAACTTTATTTAAGAGTTTGAAGTTCAAAAGTTGATCTCGATTTCAGGTTCCCTCATTACTGCAAATCATACGAAAAACTTCGTTACCAGAATGTCGTTACTTAGCTTCTTTAGCACTTGGTTGTTTGGGTGCTGTTGATCCAGGTCGTTTATTACTGACGCGTAATACAAATGTTGATGGAAATAATGCCCGATTTATATTTGTTGATTCTGGAGAACAGGTATTAAAAGTATTTGTAGATTTAAGAAATCATTACAAAAATTCACTAATAAAATCCTTGAATTTATAGATAATCTTTTCTACTCCTGCTTATGCTTACTTGAATTTTTTTGTTTCATTTTTTTTAATTTAAATTTGCATACAGATTACAGTTTTACCCAGATATTTTTGTTTTAAAGAATAATTCACGCTTATTGTTAACACTATGTTAATTCTCTAATATTATTCACTGATATTTTAGTTTCTCAAATGGAAAATTTTTCATCTTTCAGTTTTACATTGAACTTCTGGAACGATCGGCAGTGGCCTTTTCCGGAATACTGGATGCTAGTATGCAAGTTGAGTGTTCGTATAGTATTCAGACTGTTTTGCGAGAACTCTTTGGAAGACATGGTTCTGAGAGTTCGCATTTGTGGAACTTGTTAAGTGATCAATGTCGAGACTCGTTGTCGATGCTCAGGAAATCAAGCTTTATATTGCACAAGCCTGTCCAATGTCTCCCAGCAAAAAGGTATTAATTTAACTATTGAACTATAAATAAAAGATCTGATGGAATTTCACAGCAATCCCTTTGAGTTGAATTAGCAGTCTTATTTCCAACTTGGTTGCTTTTTCAGGCCAATAATTGAATGTGAAGAAGTAAAAGATTTCAGAAGCTGGTTGAATCTGTGGTATAAAGTAACAGCTGCCAAGGTGGGTAGTAATGGTTTTTTTCCAATGGATTTTTACTTTTGGCTTAGTCATGTTTTTTTTTCACCATAATCGTCTTTGATTGTTAATAGTAATGGACAAAGCATTCCAGTTATCTTTTGATTGTTTTCTGGATAATATTCGGCAACTTTTGACATTATTTCAACTCTCAACTATATCTGTTATTTGAAAAAGCATTAATTACGCTTCAGATAATTACAGATACGCGATGAGAAGCTGAAAATTTTTTTCGGTGCTTTGGAAGGTTTAGTAAATGCAGATATCGTTTTTGCCGGCTTTATCCTACCACAATTAATTCTTCAGGCTATCATTGAGCACAATCTGACTTGTATGAATGAGGTAATTCAAATTTGGAACTTTTCTAAATTAGATCTGGAGATATTTGAAAATTTCAGGATATCGCATATTGAGATTTCCTGCAAGTTGTTCTTCATATTTTTCAAATTTTGTTAGCAGTAGTTTAAAGTATAAATTAAATTTAAGCAGTTGTAGAGAGATTTTTTTCTTTTCAAAATTGACTAGGAATGAAACGGTAAAACTTGTCCATCTTTGTGCCTATGCTACTTTCTCCGTTTGCTATTGTCAAATTACATGGCTTACTTCTTTGCCGTTGTAAAATTAATCACTAATTGAATAACCGATTTTTCTTCCAAGTATTTTTTTCAATAATTAATTTTAATAATTCTAATAATTCTAATAAATTCTAATAATTGCACTTGCTTTAGGTTGGCATGGAAATAATTGCAGTTCTGCAGATGTCAATGGTTGATGGTGGATGGCCTCGATCAGCTGCACATTTGATTTTCGCAGTCATAGATTGTCTGGAGCGATTTACATATTATCGTCGATCTCGAAAAATTCCAGCCGATATGGTATCTAGATTTCTCTTGCTATAAATTAATAAGTTGTGGTTTTTATCCAATTTCCGAATAAAATTGACAGATTGAACGATATTTGACTTTATAATTTTATTATTGTTTGTTTCAAAGCAATATAGGACTTGATCAGCGGAGATGTCACCTTCAAAATTTTCATCCAAACTTCGGATTTATTCAGGTCCTCGAACGTACTCTCGAAGTCCTGTCAAATGTAACGATGCAAAAATTAGACGATGGAAATTGCTTGATTGTTGCTGCAGCTGGAGTATGTCATTGCACAACGAGAGCATTGAAATGGTTAGCTATTATTATTGGTTTAAAAAATTTTAATACCAACAAATCTTTTCTTAAAATTATGTGGCTCATTTCTATTAAATTCTTAAATGATTAAAAATCACATGCTGAATTATTTTATTCAACAGAACTTTGGTTTTGTAGTTTCTGAATTGCAGGTGTGAGCAGTATGCAATTGGCTGTGATGAAAATGGCCAGACGTTATTCAAATCGGATCAGTTCAGTTTTCTTGAGGTGCAGATCTACTTTTGGCAATCAGTTTTTGCAATTCTTGTCCGTATATTTAAAAAAAAATTCTTTAGAAAATTTATTTCGATCTGGGTGATATGGATGGTGTAGCTGGAGCTTTTGAAACAATACGTTTCTGTGCTGAACCAACCATAAACGATCGAATTTTATCGTTAGAAGCCGATGGGAATTACTGGGATGCATTACCTTTGTGTCGAAAATCAGCCAATGTAGAGGTGGTATAATTTTTACTCAAAATTTTTAGGAATTAAATCACAAATGGGAGTTCTACAGTAGAAATAAACTCAAGTGAATTCAGTTTTCTTAGAAGATCTGAAGAAGTTATTTGATATTATTTCAATATTCTCAATGTTCACAAGATATCTGACGAAGTTCATCGAATGCTTTTTGTAAACATACAGGATTTTATCTTAATTAGGAATATTTTTCAAGAGTTTCTGTTTTAAACTGCTTGAAATATATCATCATTAATAAGAATTAGGAACCTACTAAACCATTTATAATTCGTTGTGATTATTAAATATATTTAGTAAACTTTTCAGCCTTCCTATACCAAATGTTTATTGCGTCTGAATGAACCACGATTAGCGCTGAGCGGAATTACTGATCTATTGCAAAGATCAGAAAATGCTGAATTTCAAGAAAGTACTCAATTTATCCATTTGTTAGTAAAATAGAAGGGGTTTAACTTGCAGCGATCATTTATTGAATAGCTGATTTTTTTCAATGAGGGAGAAAAAAATTTAGAAGAGATGAATCTTCATGAAAATTTGGAACTTGCTAAACAAATAGATTCCATGAGGATTGCATCAATCTGTTCTGTCCATCCCTCTCTCAGTCTGCTATTCAACGAGTTTGCCTTGTAGCTGAAATGTAGAAATAATTACGTTGCAGAATTGCGTTCATGCCAATTAGAAGCAATGTGGCAGTTGCAACTCTGGGATGACTTAACAGATTTGTTGTGTAAGAAGCCTGAAGCGACGATATGTGGTGCTACATATGTGAGCGTAATTTGTGCCCTGAGAAACCGGCAGTTCAATTTAATGGATGATTTTTTAGTCAACGCTCGAATGCGTTTAGCAGATGCATTAACTGCTATGACGATTGAAGATTCAGATACTTATACACAAGCTTATAAAACTATTACACAGTAAGCTTATGATTTCTTTTTCCTGCTATCTTGTATTTTTAAGCTATCTTACTAGTATGTACTCTTCGCACCTATTTCCGAGAACAGCCCATTCATCCGTCGGGATGAAAAACGTTTCGAAAGAAAAGTGAATCAATTGGGAATAAATAAAAGAAATTCGATTTGCCGATAATAAAAATCTCCTCGTAAGAACAATTATCAATTACGCGGTAATTCAAAACAAACTTTTAAATTCGTCCAGGAATTTGAAAGTTTATATTGAATTATCCGTAATTGATATTTGTTTATGATTTCCTATGAATCTTATGTGCTAGCTGGAAATAGTAATTGCTGGTTTCTTGCGATTCTGGTTCTTCACTTCATTTAATTAATTTACAGATTGCATATGCTGTCAGAAATAGAAGATGCGAAAAGTTCACTGAAGCTAGAAAATGAGAGAATTTTAACAGTGGAAGATTTGTCCAAAGTTTTGCGTGTTTGGCAGGTATGTATGGGGACCCTGGCCAGGAAATTAGTAAAAATATACCATATGTTGATATTGAAGTAGTAGTTGAACATTTTCCATGCATAGCAGATTGCCTTTAATCTTTTCAAGCTAAATGGAAAGGGCTGCGAAAAGACATTGCTACTTAATGATTGGCTTTGAACAGGAGGTATGATTGATTCATTGTTAGCCCAGCAGGAGAATGGATTAAACGAAGCTCTGATAGCTTAATTAATTACTTATAAGATAATTCATGTAGCATGTAATTTGAGTTTGTTGTTTTGATAATGTTCAAATGATTTCGACGTCTGAAGTTTCCCGAATTGTTTCATTTTTAGTATTTTAAATTAAATGTGTTTGAATGTTTGACTGTTGATCCTTGTTCATTCCTTTGCCAATTTCTGTAGAAAAAAACAATAATTTCGTTGTTTAGAAACGTGCAGCAAAAGCGATTCAAAGCGCTAGTGTTTTGGAACCTATTCTGAATGCTCGTCGAAGCTTATTGGGCCTGTTAGAAGGTGACATTGGACACGGCCCGATTTGTGATCTTTTTTTGCAAAGCTGTCGTTTAGCAAGACATGATGGGCACCTGCAAGTTGCTTGGTCATACCTTAGTCAGGCAAAAGCGTTAAATGTTAACCAATTTGAAGTTGAAATGGAAGAAGCTCGATATCTTTTTCAAAAGGTTTTGTAATAATCTATTCTTTTTTTAATTTTCTATTTCAATGCTGCTTTGGATGAAGCGGAAATAACTTGATGACTATCATTTATTTTCAGGTATAATCTGCATCGTGTCAAACATCCAGTTCCATCAGCCTTCGGAGGATGGTTTTTTTAATTTGTTATCTTTGTTCATACTAGCACATTTCATTTTTCAGGGGAATCAGGTCCAAGCGATACAAATCCTTTCAAATTTGTTGAAAAGACGTTTTGTGAACGAGATGCAGCAGTTGAAAAGTATCTCTTGTGATGGAAAAGATGTTTGTTGCAGTGAGGAAAACTATTCTAAGGAATTGAGAAAGGGAAATGAAGACTTCGTCAAGGTATTTTAATGTTTTTTGGCACTTGGTGTGATATCCAGTTGCTATTAATAATACTAAGGAAGATCTTTCCTGTATTAATAGAACGCTAACGATTTATTTATGAAAGCAGTATAGCAGGCTCTGGCATGTGATATGAATTATTTATGATTCCATTCATATAATGTCATATTTCGCAACTTTATTGTTTTGCAATTTTGCAGGCTCAATTACTATTCGCTGAATATTCATTAAGAGCAGGAGCCGGTAGTTATGGAGATTTTTATAAGACATATTTTTCACTCCCTTTAATTGCCACACCGTCTGAAGATTTGTTTTATCGAGTAGCCGTCTTCTTAGATAAATACTTGTACAGTAAGAATGAAGTAAGTTATTAATCTTTTAACTCAATTTTTCATCATTTAATGGTCTATTATTGAATTCGTTCATCTTGTCATTTTAATTTCATATTTTAACATTCCCAAATTTTTAAATATTACAAATAGATAGTGAAAATTGCTCAAATTATACTGAGGATATTTCTAGATATTATGCATATGTCTTCATTTTTAGAATGCTGAAGCTCATAATGTAACAATGATTTTGAAAGCCTACAGGCGAGTGCTGACGCATGGAAAGAGTTATTTGTTTCATGTCATGCCACGTATGTTAAGCATCTGGTTGGATTACACACAGAAAATGGTAGCTTTTAATTTTAAAGAATTATTTCATATATTTTTGAAAGCTGATAGATGATTGGTACTTGATACTACTTGCAGATTGAAAATGGAAGTGTACAGCCGCCAATGAAAGTACACACAAGAGGATTGTCGTTAAAAAGTTCAACAAGTGAAGATAAATGTATTAAAGAGGTAGTACTCTTTTCGGTTTGCAAACAATGTTATTCGTGGTTAAGGTTTTGAGTTTTTATTTTATATGATTGGAGATGTTCTTTACCAAGGGATTATGTCTAGTTGTTTAGTATTATCTCAACTGCCCAGTCATCTGAGATCACTGGGGTCTTCCAGTCATTGAAGGTCATGTTTGCCCTGATTTCCTTTGGAGGATCTTGCAATGACAAAATTATTCTATGACTCGGTCGACTGTGGTTCGAATTTTATGATCAGTACATATTGATCTCTTCTTAATTTCCTTGAAATCTTTTGATTTATTTTGCCTTTTTGGCGCTTTCTACCTCGATATTGTCTGCCTTTGCTGTACACCGTGTACTGCTGAAATATTTTTTCAAAGTTTAGGAATTCAAAAAGTAAAAATGTCGAGAAAAAAGTTTTATTTTGATGCTTTTTCCATTTTTTTATGAAAATCTTACTATTCAAAATCTGAAAAAAAAAGCTTTTATAAACGAAATATGCAGAAACAGTATATGACATAGATACTTCTATTTATGCTAGTTTGCAGTTTATATATAATTTTATCAATATTTAAAGATTGGAATAAATGATTGAAAAGTTGTAAAATATTACAGATGAATGAAGTAATATATAGTGGTTTCAAATGCATTGATCATTACATGTTTTATACAGCATTTGCGCAGCTAATTTCTCGTATTACTCATCCAAATGAGGATGTCTTTCAAACGTTGAAGGTAAGTCAGCAATGTTTTTTGTCAAAATGAGTGTTCAGAAGAAGAACGATATATCGAGATACATCGTTTTGGTAAACACTTTTTTTGTTAATTCAGTCTTTTTATTAATTCAGTATTTCTTCTTGTATAGTCAGAATAGCGTAGCAAACATTTTGAAAATTTATGATGGAGGATATTATTTCTTTTATTATAAACAAAGCATTTGAGTTAAATCTTTGGCGTAAATCAGTTGGTAGAACAAAATATGGATGTACTAAAAATGCAGTTCTTATTTGATTCAGCTAATGATAATGGTTCTGGATTAACAAATCCAAATAATCAAATTTTAGAAAATTCTGTCCACATTGATGGTAGAATATCCACATCAGTGTTTATGGCAGTCCATTGCTGTTTTTCGCTGTGACGCTGATAAGCAACCGTTGCGTTTCACCCGTTGTCGTGCTGTATACGATTTAGCTAAACGTAGTGATGAAACTGGTCTGCTGAAAATTCTAATTCCACAATATGAATATGTTGCAGCTGCTTTCATCAGGTAAAAAGCTTCGGAAATATGTATTTTTCGATTGTCCAAAAGCATGCCTAGAACCTACAGTGTATAATTCGAAAAATTTGCTAATTTATCATTGGAAATTCTGTCGTTACTCATTACTTCTATAATTTTGATTTATATAATCCAGCATTTGTTTCAAGTTTTTGTTCTGAAATGTTATTTGTTTGGATCCTAATCAAATCTAAAGTTCCAGAAGGTGTTTTTCAATTAAGAGGAATATGCAGTTTTCATTGAGCTGACTACATAGCTATTTAAATTAAAAACCAAATAAGAGCGTCAGAAAAATAATTAGAAATACCGGAGAAAGTAAGAAACATAATTTGATTCTATATATCCAAATTTTATTATCTTTCATCTTCAGTTATTTGACTTCATCTTTTGAATAGGTATATTTCTTACAGGGTTGCAGAAGATAGTTGTCCAGTAGGTACACAATCGCCATTTAGCCAACGTTATGCCTATCTTTCGGAATATTTTCGGAGCGGTAAAGTAAGCCCGGCAATTTGGAGTATGTATTTTGCCTTCTTCTACAGATAGGAGAGAACTTTTTCCAAGTTAGAAAGTATTGTTGTTTGCACTCTTCGTTCACGAGTAAGTTTCTCAAATATCGAAAGTTTTATTTAGTGACAGAAGGAAAAGACAAGAAAGAACCGATTCGACCATTAATCGTTGTGCCACTGCATAAGATGATCGAGCAAGCGATTCCAACCAGTGTTTTGAGCACATTATCACAATTTCCAGATGCGAATTTGGGACAAACTATGTCAGCAACTTCGAGTAACATTAAATTCAGCACTATATATATTCATTCAATTGATGAAGAATTTACTGTGAGTTCAACTAAACTTATCTTTAGCATGTTCTTTCTAAGCAAAAAAATTTGTTTGGCATTTCAATTAAAGCAGTGTATTTGCTTGATATCAAAATGTCTACATGATTTTAATTCTTTTTTATGATGTGGAGTGTAAATTTCAGAGCGTCTGGATTTCATACATCAAGAAATATACTTAGAAAGTTGTGATTAAGAACCAAATTTAAGTTTCATTTTTACAGGTGATGAAATCATTAGTACGTCCCAAAAAGATTACCATAGTGGGATCTGATGGTAAAAAGTATCCGTTGATGTGTAAAGCAAAAGATGAATTGCGTAAAGATGCTCGTCTTATGGATTTCAATCAAGTACATCTTTTACATTAGTTGCTATTTCTTTTCATAATATCTCAAAGCATACATCAGGTATGTAGGTTTATAGAAATAGTGTGAACTTCTATTTCCACGAAACTTTTGAGGAGGGATAGAGTGATCACAACGTATTATCATGTAAGTTTTGCGACATTCTTTAGTGTTTTTTATAAATATGTGGGATAATCTTTTAATTAAAAATATAATTAGCAAGCTTTAGTCGATCAACGGTGTTCAGATTTTAAAAAAGCGAAAGATATTGAAACGATTTACTGGGCGCTGTGTTTTAATAAAAAATGGTGTTACGTTATATGTTACCATGTTGAATTCTCGATCTACGTGAAGAAAAACAAAAAATGAAGAATTGAAGCAACATGTTCTTTACAACATGTTTCTTAAGCTTATTTTTAAATTTTGAAGTTTTTAGATGGTGAACGCATTATTACATCAAAATGCAGATGCTAGACGTAGGCAACTTCACGTCCGAACATACAATGTTATTCCGTTACAAGTAAGTTTTATTTCCTCATTTTAGTATTACATTGCCAGTGGTATTCTGCCATTCATTTTTTTTGGAGTGAGATAAGGAGAAACTCTTAATTAGGTTGTCTTTGATATTGAGTTTCCGTTTTAATCTTGATATCAGAATGGAACAATCATTCAAATTTTGTAGGATGCCGGTGGTTTAATTGAGTGGATTCCAAATCTCCAAACTTATCGTTGTCTAGTGGAGCAGCTGTTAAAGGAAAAATGTAATAGTGTAATGACCGATAAAGAATGGTTTGCTCGATGGGTACCTAATGGAACTGATGAAGAAAAATTGGCAAGATTACGGACGGAGTACTATCCAAGACATCCAATTGTGATGCCCGAATGGTTCAGGTAAGAGAGTTCTACTTTCTAAAACCTTTTAAATGCTATTTCGATAAATTCTATATTATAAGCCCAATAATTTATAATACTTTTCAAATTCCGTGTCTTTTTCATTATCTTCTGTTTCAGAAGTCTCGGATCTATCACCACCAAATTCGGAAATTTCTCAATTTTTTCTTTGTAATTTTTTTTTGAAAACGTGTGTAATTATTAAGGAAAACTTTAGACGTTCATTTTCGGACTCATGTCGTTGGTACGCAGCACGTTTGGCTTTCACATATACGTCAGCAGTAATGAGTATGATAGGTTTTATATTGGGGCTTGGAGATCGGCACGGTGAGAATCTCTTACTTGATCTTGTCAGTGGAGATGCTATTCATGTGGATTTCAATTTATTGTTTAACAAAGGAGAGAATTTAAATGTTCCTGAAGTAAGCTGACTTCCATGATTTATTGTGATGTACATGGATGAGTTAGGCACGGAAGTGAAAGTGGCAATCATTCTACCACTAGATTTCTGTGCTTATCTATCTCTCTTATGGCTAAATTGTCGATGTATGAATTAATATGTGATGCACGGGGATTTTATTGGTTCACATCTGACAATCTTTTCATATGCGGTTCTGAAGTATATTCTTTAACGGATACTTAAATTATATAGCAATATTTCTCTATCGTTTACATTAATTTTAATTCAGGTGGTTCCATTCCGGTTGACTCGTAATATCGTTGCTGGTTTCGGTGCAACTGGTGTCGAAGGCGCATTTCGTCGTTCATGTGAGACAACAATGCGTGTATTACGTGAACATGATGAGGCTCTACTCACTGTTTTGCAAACATTTGTGCATGATCCACTTCTTGAATGGATGAATAGCGAAAGTCGAGCTCAGCAATATAAACAGGTTGGTTATATTATGCAGTTGTGGAAATTTGGCAAATTTCTTTCGATTCATATGAAGTAAAACTTTTTTAAAAGTTTATTGATTTACTTTCTTGTTCAAAAAGTTGTTTGCAACCAAATTAGATAGCCTTTCCTAAACATATTTATCTGACATGTGTTTTTGTGTAATTTTAGATGTTGAATGAAAGAAGTTTTATAATTCGTATTTGTTTATAAGAAGACGATATTTTTTTATAGCGAAAGCGAAATGATACCAAACTATCACCACCGGTAGCTCAACAACAGGCGCAAGAAGCAATCGATATGATCCGATCTCGTTTAATAGGTTTTGTAAAATTTGCACCTAAATTATCTTTTTTCTCAATAATTTACAATTTCATAATTAATAAAAATCTAAAGCTTTTATGCCTACTTTGAATTTTTTAATGGAAATCATTTCATTTTTCTTATTACATCCGCTCCTTCACATTTTGCAAATCGTAATTGGACTCTTTACTCCTCTTCCGGAAATATATTCCATTGGTTTTTCCGCTCTAACTACGTTGACAGTTTCATTACTTTTTTTCTTTGCAGGTCACATTATAACGCCAAAAATTTATCGCACTGAAACGAATAACCCACCAATGAGTATCGAAGGACAAGTGAGTCGACTGATTGATATTTCTCGAGATGAGTTAAATCTTGCCCGAATGTATATTGGTTGGTGCCCTTTCATATAGTGTTTTAGCAGAGATTTCAATTTTATAAATATTTCGGCACAGTTTGATTATTATTTCATTTTCGCTTTCTTATGATACTTTCAGTAAAGTTAAATATTTCACAATTACATAAGGTTCCAATTTCCACGCATAGTCCCATGTGTAGAAATTTTATCCGGTAATTGGTAATATAATGATTAGTGATGTATCGTCGACATCGGTATATAATAAACAGTATATCATTTGAATCATCAATATACTAGTCTGGAATAATCGTACTTTGCAAGCCTTCTCAAACATCTATTCTAATTCACATGTCAGGAAATAAAATGAACTGTTTGATTTAATTTAATTTTGAACAAACTATTTGATTTCAATGAAATACATCCCATTTTTTAAATTAGAAATTTTCAGTGCATTGTTTTGCCAAAATATCCCATTCTTTATCTTTTTTCTTACTCCAACGCTCAATCTTTTTAATGATCTAATAGGTGCTCTTTTTTTATTTTTTCCTCTTGATCACTTAATCTCATTTACGGATTGCTGATGTATTTCAAGTTAGAAAATTAAAATTCTAGATGCTATTCAGTTTTTTTATAGGCTGGATAGTTTTTTAATATTAATTCATTAATTGTTACAGCAATTCAATATTTCTGATTTTGCAATCATAATGTTCGAAATGAATGCATTTTTGTCTTACCTCTCATTATTGCATATGATATTTCTGTCCGTTTGAATACTTTCTGAAGAATTGAGCTTTGTAAATTAGATTGTGCCCACAAATAATATCTCATATCTGCCTTAAAGATTATTTTAAAAGCATTCCTCACTCAATATACTTCTCTTTTACTACTTCATTTATTATTTTTTTTTCGGCATGTTTTGCTTTATGTTACTATATTTCTTATCTGAAGAAGTTCCAAATGACTGTATATATAACACATAGTTTTGCATAGTAGCTGCCTACAAAATCAGATAAAATTTGCTGGACGTGATATATGTAAATGAATTTTTGCTATCATATATATTAGACACATTCCTAAAAATCTCAATATTTTCCGAAGTTTTTTTTTTATGCCATCTATATGATAGCACTTTTTCAAATGTATAAAATCAAATTTCTGTTACCATATTAATTATTTTATGGATTATTTTTCACATGCGGTTGCGTTCTTTCAACGCAAAATATCTATAGTATAAAGTAAATGTGATTGCTATGCTTGCATTATTAGTTTTCACGTCCTTGCTGGTGAACAGTGCACAAAAGTCTCAATATTTTCAAGTTACAACGCGGAATATAACAAGCTCAACAGTCATTTTGGTTAAGGGAAACGATAGCGATGTAATTTCCGCACCAGGCATTTCCGATTCAGAACGGATAGATAAGAACATAACTACACAAAGTTGGAAGCAAAGTAATTTTAATCTAATTTAAGAACTATAAATAAGAAAGATCGATGATATGGGATAAATTTTCTGACACTAAGAATTAAAGTATTAATATAAGGTTTAGAAAAATGTATGCTTTTTATATATTGTGTGGCTATTTAGAAATGTAGAGATTTTGAATGTTTTTTTTTTTGCATTTTTTGATAAATTATATGAACGAGAAAATGAATCAATAAAGATGGGAGTGGAGAAATCCGTAAGAAGATAGATAGGGTTCTTCGCTCGAATAGAAGTCATTCGCTGAGAGTCAAGCTATAATTTACAATTGATAGTAAAATTTTTTTATAACCAGGAAAATCAGTGAAACGAAGGAGGAATATTACTCAATTAATCATTGATACAGCCCCACTGAAGTATATGTATGTATATGTGAGTTCCCATGATTTCCTTAATTTTAGCTCAACAGAGTAAAGATATTAATTGATTTATAATTAACCTGAAATTGATTCTATATTTAAAGCGATATATAGGAAAAGTTAAAAGTAGATGATAGGTAGGGTATAAGGAAGATACTCGGATGCATTTATGAGTAATAACTGTTGATTCCAAATAACATAAGGTTCTCTTTTATTACTTTTAATACTGCCGAAAAAATTCTCCGGAAGATACATATCATTTAACAGATTTAAATTGAATAGGTAAAGGTGAAAATTCGATAATTTAAGAATTTAACATCTGAAAATTAAAGTGAGATCAAGTTAGAAGTATCAAAGTTCATAAGCTCATGATTCGAAAATAAATACTAAAATTAAGGTTGGACTGTTCTATCTTAGTGTAGTAATTATGATAGTGGTACTGGATGGTGCGATACCGAGATTATGTGGTGAAACTTCGGTGACTGCATCAATGAAGAGCGGAGATATGTTGCATTCGACGTATGAAGAACCAAGACCGGTGGTACATAATATACCACCCGGTTATGATACATCACGTCCATCATCGATACTTCCATTACATAATAATGGATAAAATAAGCAAATCCAAAGGAAAAAGATTAGAATAGATTGCCTTCTTTAATGGTGAGAATACATAAAAACGCATTTTGGTATAGAAGGAAATACCGTCGAAAGTGATTCTTTTAAATTTCAAAGATTTCTGGATAATTGTTTTTCATCACAAAAAAATTAGAAGGAAATGAAAATTGCTGCTTAATGAATTATATACATTTCTGAAACTTTTATATCGCCAATTAATCATAATGCCAATTAATCAATTAAAGCATTTCATTGTTCTACACTTTATCTTTTCTCTTTACCTTATTTGATATTCTTCATTTCTATCGATCCAATGCTTTTTTTGTTGTATATTATCATTTAAATTTATGATTTAAACTTCTTCGAAATTTCTGTTCATTCAAAAATTGAAAATTAGAAATATTTTTTGCGTCCGTTATTTTCCGTTTGCCTAAAAACTGTTGCATTCATTCTAAGATCTGAATAATTTTGATAGATCACAAAATTGCAGCTGTTTGATTGTTAATTTTAATTCTCTTTCAAAGTGATGCGATAAATGTCGCATTCTTTTTCCGACAATATTGCATATCTATTATTTAGCATTGTCTAATGTAATCAGTCCATCGATTACTTCTTATTTTAGGAAATTAAATTTAGATGGAAATAACATGTAACAACAATTTCTAAATGACGTCCAATTAGCTTTTGCTGAAAAATTAAATTCATATTGTCATCATACTACTCATACAATTTAATAAATTACATCAAGTGAATGAAGAAGACAAAAGAGATAAGTTCTGTAGCCAAGAAGGAAAAGAAGAATTGCAATATTAAAAGTGATAAAAGCAAAGAAATAAAACAGATCAGGAAAGATTCCGCTGAATGATTTTCAAAGAAAAAACGATTTAAAAAATGAAGCCAACTAACTGTGACAAGCCAAAATGATTTGAGCCATAAAAGATTGGATTTGGCTGTGATGCCGTTACCGCTGCTGTCGCAGGGATCCCAAACACTATTGTGGAATCATTTCTGCATAACTTAAATGTGGCATCATAAAGGACTTTGAAATCATTCCTTTAATTGAGTTTCCGCTATCATTCACCTCAATGGCGAATAGATGAAAGTCGTAAATATCTTTCCTTTGTTTCTCTTCAGTAGGCATTGGTTCGGCTGAAATGAAAAGGAATAGAAATGGGCTTCGTGTAGAGTAGATGACTTATTCAGATAAGTTAGGCAAATGAAAAATGGAACATCAGCTAAGATATCGTTCATGAAAGTAGGCACCATCAATGATCGATCTATCATAATGTTAACAAAACAATTTTATTATATTATACTTCCCTCATTTACGAGCACTGCATATACATATAGTTTAATTGATCGAATCCGACATATTTTCATATTGTATGATAAATATGCTAACATTTTAATGTGATCTTTCAAAATTATCGCAGGCAATTTAATCAATAATTGCATAAACTAAAGGGTTAAATGATTGCAATTTTTCATTATTATTCCTTTTTACGAAGGTTAATACTAATCGTACTCCACTGGATCACATTACAAAAGTTATCCTCTACATTGAATGACCAAATATTTCTGTGACAATAAATTGCAGTGCTAATGACGGAATGAGAGATAAGAGAAGGAAATGAAGTCTTGATTGTTCACAAAAATAGTACGAGAAAGAAAGGGCCGATTAACATTTTGACAAAATCGATAATTTCTTCGTCAAATAAATCAGAAGTCTTAATATATTATGTGCTCATATGATCGTTATGGATTTAAAGCAATACCGCATACCAGGTAAAAACCACTTCTCTATTTTAACAGCTAATCTATTATTGGTTAAGAGTAAAATTTGAGTCTTCGAAAATTATGACAATGAAGGAAACAATACTTCGCGTAGGACAAATTTGTATAGCATTTCCATCGGGGAAATCATCGCGATAGAGCTGTGCTACAAATTTACTGTACTTTTCTTTAATTCGATGGTGTTTCAATTTGAATGTGCTTCAGTAAAAAGACCACTCTCGATTGTCCACGCCTCATTGGATAGATGAATTCTTTTTGTTAATTCATTTTTCAATAAATGATCGAAATTATTTACCTTCTCTTAAAATTTATTTCTTAATTGGAACTTAAAAACCATCAAGTGAATCATTTCATTAAGCCTATATTAGCAACACTGAAATAGCCAAAGGCACTAGCATTTAGCTAGAAGCAGTAAAACAGCAACCTTAAGTATTATTATCATATCTCTCCAATTCATCCGATGAGACAACATTTTCGAGCTATTCGATAACGACATTCATGATGATAAGTTTCTTCGAGAAATATAGGAGACGAAGATATATTAACGATCGCAACTCCGGTATTATCTTTTTAAATGTTTTGATAACAGCTCAACTGATATTATCAATAGTTAGCTTCCGTTTCATTGGTTGCTTAATAAAATAAAAATAAAAATAAGAAACTAAAATGGTTTGCTCAAAATGTATGTTGAATATAAACAAATGAGGAATGCCACATTATCAATTCACTTCATTTAAGCTGAATTAAGTATATTAAAGCGTAATAATACTTCCTTCATAGCACTGCATAAATTGCAGTTAATGCGAAAGAGTGATAATACAGTAAGAAGCCAATTTTCGCAAAAATAATTGTGGGAAATAAAGTTACTTGTAAATATAAATAAAGTACAAAATTTGACAATTTTCTTTTAAAATTTCACGGAATAATTCTTTGTCATCTCAGCACATTCTACATATAACTTTTTCAAAATATACATTCATTAGATTGCTTTTCCTCAAATACTTTTAGCAGTTCACGTGCTTCGTCATCATGTAATTTTGACGCATGCGTGAACAGTATCTTTCCTTGGGAAATCCACTCCTATTGGACCATTTACACTATATCATGAACTACTTGTATCCTTCTCTGATTTTTTCTAAATATATAATACTTAAATGCGATCAAATAACAAATGAAATTCAACGCTTTTATCGGTTCAGTGATGCTTTGCCATCTCTAAAATGTTAATTAATCGATTTCGTTGCTTAAAAAATTAAATCTGTAAGTGACAAAGTTTATTCCGTGTCCAAAGAACATTTCTATCAAAGAAATTGAATTCAAAACGGATAAGGAAAGATGGGAAAGTGTGATGAATCGTTCTGCAAAGTAGAAGTGCATAAATGAATTATTTGAGAAAAATGAAAAGCAAATCTTTAATCTTTCACTTCATTTAACTTGACAGTGGATGAATCCTTTAGGAATAATACCACACACGAAATACAGGAATAATCAGACGAATTCAATGGTGCTGTTTCTTGAAAAAGTTACCGAAAATGGACACATGAGAATTCAACAACTCAACGCTTAATTCTTCATACAGCAAATATTATGATGAATTTAAACTCACTTGAGATTAACGCCAACATATCTGCAAATGAATACACAAGCAAGTCTGAATGAATTTATCTTTTCTCATCCGTCCAATCACACCGATTACATATTTCCACAGAAAGAAAATTCCTTTCCTTCTTTTATCATACCGAATTTCCAGCACAGATATTTATTGTTTCTCCTATCTTCGTAAAAAAGATATGCTTGGAAAAAACAATGAGGCAAATTGAAAATTGAGAGATAAATACGATTGCTAAAATTCAAAAATTTCAAATAATTTGGAAATAATTGGCTAAGTAAACATAAGTAATGATAGAATTTATTGAAATGTATGCAAATTTCAGGATAATAAAGAGCGAAGTAAAATTTATTAATATAAAAATTTCTGATATATTTGGAAAGAGCAATTTTCTGAGTGTCGTAATTTGTGAGTGGCCAAGTGAGCTCTTCTTTTCTCCGTACTAAGTGCAAAAAAGAGTTAAGATTGCTTTACGATAGAAAGGTTGTATATGTTTGGACTATGCTGTAATTAACGAATTAAATTAAAAATTTCAGTACTCTTTAATTTCTCTACTTTGTCAATATCATAATGGCTATTGGTTATTAGGAAGAATTAAGTTTGATACAGTGAAATCTCACAAGTCAATATTTCAGGATGTGGCACGGCATAATTTGTTTTCTGTTTATAATGATTACATTGACACGATTCGTATTCTTATCACAGTCATCTCTTCTAAAGCTTAGTGAAGTGATAACACGTATCGAGAAAACAAAAGGAACGGATATGAACATGTGCAATGAAACCGACAAAATTGACAATTGGTTCATAATAGGATTTCTACCCATTGGAAGATAACAAATAGAATAGAATAGATAATCAATTTGCAGTTTAATAAGAAAAGAATTGCATTGTATTCTGATATTTTCATTCAACTGAACTTCCCCTCAAATTCTTTTAAATTTCGAAGTGATATATCAATTTCTATTGAGAAATCGTTAATGGCCTGAACTCCGAATCCAACTTCCCTCGGATGGAAACTTTGAATATAATTATTGCAGGAAGATATATTGCAGCAATTTAATAGTTGCAGCGATGGATCTGCACCGGATTGATGTAGAATCAAAGACATTTGTTGACAGACCTTTGAAAGATGATCCAGGTAAAAAATGAAGTTTTCATAAAGAACTTCCTTTTTCAAGAATTTATTGATCATTGATATTGAGAGAAGAATCGCTTGTTAGCGAATAACTTATTAAATCCTTCACACATGTAATTAGTACAAAATTACCTTCATATTTTATCTAAAATGATTTCCATTTTAAAATGTTATCCTTACAAGAATATATTACATGCATTGACATATTTTAGAAGTTGTTTTGCAAGAATTTAAAAAAGAATTTGGAGGAATTCCGCTAAAAGACATAAATGTGCGGAAACTCAAAGATTTTCGAAAACGTTTTTTTGGTGAGCCGGGAACGGAAATGAACACTTGCTTTATTCCGGAATGGAAGGAATTACCACCGAAAATCGCTCGGATAAAAGATGAATCATTGAAACTTTTTGCGCTATTTTTGAATCGAAAATGGAAAGACCTATGCAGACAAGTGAGAAGAATACAAGTTTTTATCGCAGCCATTAGAACCCGCGAAGACATATTTGGACGAAGCGATTTTACTTATTCCTTGCAGAATCAATTATTTGAATTCATACTTTCAAAGTTGAGGAATCAATTTACATAAATAAATTTCAAGATAGTTAAAGTCGAAAACCCGAAATGGAATTCTTTGATCGAAGTACCCCATCCATTCATTGTGGCAGGCGGTCGATACAGGGAATTCTACTATTGGGACACATATTGGATCGTGAAAGGTTTAATTGCGAGTGACCTCTTCATGATGGTTAAGAATATATTGAAGAACTTCATTTATTGTGTCAAAAAATAAGTTTTTGTCAATCAGAACTGCAGCAAATTAATACTGATTTATGTTTTATCGCTGGACTGTAAAATAACCATTTCACTAAATTCTCCACCAAATATAATCGAACAATAATATCTCCCGATCCGAAATGCCTTATCAGAGACATTTTCTGGAAATTATCTACAAATAGCAGTTTGAAGTTATTTACTGTTATTTAGAGATTATCTATAAACGATTTGAAGTTACATTAATTTTTAAGAGAAAAAATTGGTAAAAGCCAATGATTAATAAGAAGTAGAGTCTAACATCTATTAGAGAAAAGGTCGCGTCGTATGATTATTAGCTTATTATTGCATATCAGGAAAAAACAGTTATTTCGAATAAAAGGGAAGGACTCACTCAAGAAGGACTCAGTGACTCACTCACTGGGAAAAACACCTTGGATGGTTTGAGCACCGTATTTTTTGATATTTGACTTATGTTTCTATAATGATGTGAATTATTATGCAGTTTCAGGATATCTTCTATTTCAGATTTGGTTTTATACCGAACGGCGGACGTGTTTATTATTTAAGACGTTCACATCCGCCGTTTCTCATTCCAATGGTATATGAATATTATATAGCTACTGAAGATGTCATTTTTGTTAAAGAAAATTTCGATCATCTCGTGAGAGAATATGAATTTTGGGTTCACAATAGGTAAATGATCAGTAAATATTTATTTAAATTGAACATATTCGGAAAGTATTTATTTTATTGTTAGACAAGATAATTTCCTCGGTGAACACAAAAGTGATGTTATTTGATCATAGTAGCAGAGCTTTAAAGAATAAATGAAAATATAATTGTGAACGGTTAAGGTCAATGAAAGTAAAAGATAAAAACGGTTATGAACATGTTGTATATCAATATCGTGCTATGTCAAATATACCTCGTCCGGAATCATTCCGAAATGATCTTCAAGCTGTTGCAGAAGTCGAAGAAAGTAAGAGACAAAAATTCCTTCAGGTAGTAATATTCATACAATAAAATAAAATAAATACTGTTGCTTCTAAGATATTGTAGAAGCTTTTTCTATATGTTTATTTAAGATCTTACAAGAATCATTTTTGTATGTTGTACTGTATCCAGGGTAAATTTTTTTAAACAGCAATGGGAATGATGCTGTGAAGTTCAATGATAATTAATAATTAATAATTAATTAATTAATTATTAATTAATTAATTAATGATAATTAATAATTAAGTGATAATTAATCAATGGAGCACCGCTGTTTTGCAGGATATTGCGTCAGCGGCGGAATCTGGTTGGGACTTTTCGTCGCGGTGGTTCGCTGATCGACGAACAATAAAAACGATTGAAACAACTAATATCTTACCTGTAGATCTGAATGCATTGCTTTGTTGGAATGTTAATATTCTCAAATATTTCGCTGACGTTATCGGTATATCCTCTACTTTTTTCTCTTACAATGATATTTTGTGAAGTAATCTGAAATATTCTCTTCTAAGAGTCGACGTAATTCTTCCATGGAAACGGAACCTTAAGCAATGTAACAATGTCAATTACAACAGGTAATAAGAAGAAAGCAAAAGAATTTGAGGAAAGAGGAAAGAATGCTTCAGAAGCCTTTAATGCCATATTTTACAATGACGTAGAAAAGGCTTGGTTCGATTACAACTTACGCACCGAATCGCATAACGTCATGTTTCATCCCGCCGTGGTGATTCCTCTATTCACAGGCTGTTATTCAATGTTGGATTACCATAAATCGGTCAATGTTATTCATTTTATGAATGTAAGTTTTATTGTTCTTTTCTGCAATATCTTTGATAGATAGACTAAGCTGTGAGGTACGCAAGGTTTGGATGACAATTGATGACATTAGAAAATGTTTGAATGACAATAACATGACATTAGAAAAAAACTTGAGAAATTAAGTTGAGAAATATTCGACAAATGATTCTAATTCCAATGCGGTGTGAATAGAAATAGTTGAAATTTTGCATCGAATTCAAAGTTTTCTCTGTTTTTAACGCTATTTTTAGTCATTTTTAGTCACAAGTTCTTTTCTGAGTTTCAAAATAGATTACAAATTTATTGTAGCGATCACGCGTGCTTGATTATCCGAGCGGTATACCGACAAGTATAAATAAAACTGGAGAACAATGGGATTTACCGAACGGTTCACCCCCAATGCAGCATATGATCATTGAGGGGATGCGAAAATCCGGCAATCCCGAGGCTCAGCGAATAGTAACTTGGCAATCAATTACCTTTTTTATAACAATCCAAATCTTTGATATATTCCTTTCAAATTTTATGCAAGCATTTTAAAAAAATCGCGATGGTTGGTTATGAGGCATTCAAATTTATACAATTAAGGCATTCGAACTGGCACGAAAATGGATAATGGCTAATTATAAGATGTATCAGACAACCAAGGAAATGTGGCAAAAGGTTTACTTTGGTTTTTCGAGTTACAAATAAAGCTTTTAAACTTAATCTTAACTTAGATCCAACGCTTACCTTCTCAAGATCTTTGTTTGCTAAAGAGATAATATGCTAAAGAGCAGAACTATCGTTGTATTGCTTATTACAAAAATCCTTAAAAATATTTGAAGCTCTTCTTTTGGTATAGAAGCTTTTAATTAATCACAACAAGTCACTTAGCTTCTTTAGGCTTAGGTTTGTTTAGATTGATGTCACTCGGACAATTCCCGCTCCAGGAATTGGCGGCGATCACGCCGCACAGGTATCCAAATTTACATTATTTGAAATTCATATTATTTTAATAAAATTTTATGCACTTGCTTCATTCCTGAGGCCCTAAAATGGCAAGAGTTTTTTCCTTTTTCAGATTGGTTATGGTTGGACAAATGGCGTTATTCTAGATCTTCTTGTTACTTATTATGACCGAATGACTATTAGAGATGCGGAGGAGAATATATCCCCTGGATCTACGAGACCCTGTCGTAGTAAAGCATATCGCATCGATTACATTACGATTAAATTCATAATTCTCTGCGCCATTATTTTTTATTTCTTTAAATTTTAGCTGTAACCTTAGCCATTCGAATTTGTTTAATCAATACATTTTGCATACTTGTTTTTCAATCGATCGATACGTTTCAATAAATAATCATTTTTTTTGAAAGCTCAGAATTATTCTTTCCCCTTTCCAATTGCTATTGATTCGATCATTGAATAATACAGCACACATTTAAATTGAAGTTCTCAAAAAATATTTATGGATTTAATTCCAAGAAATTCTTTTTCTTTGTTCATCAAATGAAAAAAGTATAAATTACTTCGTTGCCATATTTTTAATGAATAATATATTAATTAACTTATTCCCACAAAAGTTTCATCGTTTTCTGATTTTTTTTTGCTCTTAGAGAAAATTACTCATTTCAGACATTGTTATCATTAAATAAATTAATATTTAATCAATGCAAAATGATAAATTAATAAATTAATATTTAATCAATACAAAATGACCAAGCAATTATCACTCCTACACATATATCTACATCAAGTTGTGCATATAAACAAGAAATATCTTAAACAAGAAATATCTTGTTTAATGAATGTTCAAACAGTCAATGCTTAGAGATTTTCATGACAATTGTCTTAGATATACATGAAAATTTAATGTTCCGTAGTATACGGTAGCACAATGAGTTTAAATTTTCTGCTGATGTTATTTCTATTTTTGAATTTACTTGTGTTTTGAAATAGTTGTCAAAGAACGATTGGACGTAATCGTATTAATGATACTACTTAGGAATGTACGTTGTTTTATAAAATAAGCTGTTTCATAAATAGTTCCATCATCAAATGACCGAAGTGATAATTATCGCAAACTGGAATTGCAAATACATCCAAATCAAAAAATGAAGTATTTTGAGTAACGATTTCGAAATCGTCACTTTCTCACGAACTAATTAACAAAATACACACCTCGACTTAATCACTTTCTTTTCCAAACATTGTAAATCAATCCATTGCGACATTATATTGTCACAGTAATTGTCACTTTTATACATTAAGCTCATAATTGCCTTTCATGCAATTAAGAAATAATCGAATTTCAATTATGCCGGATAATTTGTCGGTCTTTTTACTTCGAAGAGAGAGAAAGTAAGATATGCCAAATGATATATCTCAGAATTGATGAAATTTTAAACAACTTGATCAATTTGGCTCATATTATTGTATTTCATTTTACCAAATTTATTTTTTTATGAAACAAACTGACTGATTTCATAAATTCTCTATAATAGTTAAAATTAAAAGATATTATATTGAAATGGAGTTTAACATCGTTGCATATGACAACAAGTGGCAACAATAATTGAACTATGAAATGCAAAATTTGGCTGGATTTTGTGACCGAAATTTTAGATTTTTTAGTTTTCTAAGCATATAGGAAGTAAAAATTATTTTACTTCATTGATTTTATAAATTTGGCTTTCGTTTCAAGTACATGAAGAATTTGAACTACTAATTAAGCTGTCATTTTATCTGAACCAATGATAAAACAAACATGTCAATCAGCTTGTTTATCTTTATCTAAAATATTCAAAAGCTAAATTTAAATCCAAAAAAGTATTCCGAAAAATAAATGCACATTTCAAATATTTTGAATCAAATTATCTGTCACATTCAATTATAATTACTATTTTCCGATGATAACATTTGATATCCTAATCAACAAACATCAAATTGATATTTCTTGGGGTTAAAGGTCTCCAAAAAAAATCGTAACTAATAACCAAAATGATGAAGTGTGAACAAATTGTAAGCATTCATTTTTCTTGAAATTCGACAAAAATACATGCTATAATGCTTTCTAATACAAAATTATCAATGTTGATATGTTTAATGGATCAGTCATATTGATGCTTTCAAGATTTCGCACCAAATGAAGTCGTATAGAACAATTCATTTTGCAGTAAGCATTAAAATTTAATTTTATTTCCGAATACTGTGCAGAATTTCAATTCATGCAACGCAACATATATTCAAAGGTCATTTGTTTCATAAATGATTTACAAGTGAAATTCATATAGCATATTGTATATCATTAAAGGCGTAACATACCATTGGTACTATTGGTGGCATTCTTCTAATTGATTCAGGTGGGAGAGATTTTGAGTTCACCAACAGCTATATAAGTTAACACTAAGTGTTGCTACAGATTCATTCTTCAAATTTTTCTCCTCGTACTAATGAATAGGTATTAATTGAGTTGCAGGAAAAGTTAGTTGCTTTGCTATATCACCAACTATCTTCCCATATTGCAATTGCCTCTCATGATAAAAAGTAGCAAAAGTTGGAGTGAAATAATTAATGATCGGTATAGAATTTGGACGAATAATTGATGCTTCCTTTAGCCAATCAAATTTGCATTTGTGAAATGAAACAGCGAAAGGACAGCATACGGTAGGAGAATGAATCAAACTGAAAGAATAGAAATTTTGAAAATTTTCATTGCCATATTTCAGCTGTAAACTTTATCATATTAATTAATAATTTCTAATATGAAAAGTTCCTTGTTAAATCCACAAGTAGCCAACATTGAGATTATTCTTTTTAAAGAATAGCTTCTATAGAAGTTAATTGGAATTCTTAGAATTATTCTCGAATTGTTCTTTCTTCTTGTAAGGATGGAAAAATGTAGTAATTTTCATTTTACGATGAATTTTATCTTAAAAATTATTATATTGTCTGAAAAGAATTAAATTCATTGCATTATTTGTCCACTTTTCTTTTGAAGAAATTACTATTTCACAACAGAAATATTAGGATGACATCTTATTAATGATGA